CTGATGCTATCTGGGGGCGGGAAAAATTAACGGCGGCCCATGAATGTCCCCTCCACGTGTCTACCAAGGGAAGTCTCTCTCGCTTCATTGGTTTACGTGGGAAAATTTAAGGTTCGATACTTTTTTTAACACCAACGACCCCCACTAACTCCTGAGCGCCCCTACCGACCCCCTCGATACCTTCACCGCCCACTGGGGGTATCGCCCCCGCTGGGAACTTATGCTCTATAGTGTTGAGTACAGTGACTCAATTTAGAACAGTGGCGACAACAAGGTATCTCGTTTTTGATTGGTCGTTGGTTCCGGCCGCCATATTGAAGCTAAATTCCAAGCTGGCCAATAGAACAATTCCAAAACGAAGCGGTACACTCCGTGCTATAATTATTAAATATACTGTTTTGACAGTTCACGGCTTCACGTTACTAGTTTACATTTTCCTTCTTGTATTTGCTTTTTTGCGTTTTCCGTCTCCAGTTTTATATAAACTCGTATATAGCTTGAATTTACGATATTGTAAGGTATGTAATTCGCTTAAAGTGTGGTAAGTGGTAATTGATGTAAAAAGTTTCTCAGAAGCCCTAAGTAATGAGTTTAGATAGAGGACTGGTTAGAGAAGCAACTTATACCAAATTTACCAGCAAATTAAATTGTGGTAATGGATAACGCAATTGTGATCATAAATACGCTTGAATTGCTTTAAAGTTTAACATTGATGATTGCTGAAGCACAACAAATATTGCTTTTTTGTACTCCGTAGACTAAACACAATTGTTGTGTCTTCCATTTAAGGGACTAAAGTGATACTTTTTATCCCAGAAAGAGAAACACGCGACAAGAAACAAGAACTGAGAAAACACGCTGACATGTCAAACACAATTTTTTAGCTCCAATATGGCGGATTATGATAAGTTGTCGCCACTGTCTGTATTGATGAGTTGAGTGCCGCGTTCGTATGCATTTTTTTAGAAGCAACAAACCGTTTAGATATTTAGTATACGGGTTCCTTATAGATCAAGAAATAATGCTCACTAAACAATTGATTTTTTTGGTTAAAATACCTCGAACAGCTTTCGGGTCTATTACGCCTGGATCCATTTTTATGGTTTTGTTCGTCTGTCTGTCTATTCCTCGTCCAACTCGAGAACGAAAACAGACAGCGGTATCAAATCTTCGTCAATCGAGTTCAAGGATAAGTGCTATTGAATATGAGCCGGATTAAAAGTCTGGTTTCGGAATGCAAGCTGAGTGGAAAAAAATTTCCCTACTGAGAATCGTACTTATGCGATCAATACTCTTTTCTCAAATAAAGGCGGTTAATAGCATAATATTCAGATTCCTACAAGATTTATTTATTTATTTATTCAAGTTCATGTAGGGTGCAATTGTCAAAAAAGGTTTACATGTAAAAGTGTATATAACATAACAAGTCAAAAATAGAACAAACAAACAATAATACATTAACACTAAATCACACTACCAACTTACATCTAACATGTTTGTAAGTTTCACATGATCCTCAAATTCATCCAGGGTGTAAAAAGCATGTTCAGTTAGGAATTTTTTAACGACACATTTAAATTTGGTATTTGGTAATTCCTTGATATGAACAGGAATAAGATTAAACAGGGTTAGTGATTTAAATTGTTTGTGGCACCTTGTTAATTTGCAGACGGTGTTTCCTGATTTTTGAAGAAATTCAAAAAATGAAAATGGTGCCGTTGAAAAGCTCAAAAAAAGCGCGTAAATATTGATCGAATTATAATTTTTGAGCTCGTAGTTGTCAAGTTGGCGTGAAGTAAGCAAGCCTTTTTTTCAAAATTGATTTGTGAACTATTGGAACTCAAAAATTACAAACGGTACCATGGAAAGGCTCAAAAAAGCTCAAAATAATGGAACATTGAACCATTTTTGAGCTCTACTTGTCCCGCTCACTTCAGGGACGTGTTAATTCGTTAACTTTTGACGAGTGTTGGATAAGTAGAATTTTGTGGAATTTATGAAGAACATGCTTAGTAATTGGTCAGCGCATTTTTATAGCGTATAATCCATTGGTTGACCAGAAGACCCTGTATGCAATGTGGTGTATAGAGCATCAACCCGTATACAGCTAGAAAGTCAATTTTTTTAAGAAGCTTCTGATAAATATAACTAATAACGGGTCTTTTTTAAAATTCGACGTCGAAGTTGACTTTGCAACACTGAATTATTGTGAACCCACCAAAATTACCCAAACCGAGCCACTGTACTTCCAATTTATTGTAAGGTAATGTTTGTGTGTTCACAATGAGCTTGCCATGGCCAACTTCGACGTCGAATTTTAAAAGAATATTAAAGTTCTCCTGTGAGATCGAAGGGACTTCAGCGCATTTTTGTGTGAAAGATCAGTACTCTATTAGCCAGTTTTGACTCCACCTTCAATAAAGATGTTTTCAAAGGCTATTACATTCCCTGTGTTAGTACCCACTTCTGACGTCCCGTTCACCCGCAATTCGCACCTTAACTCCACAAAATAGTACCCATTTTTTTGGGCACTTTTCATAGCTCAAACTTCTACTGGCGACACGAGAAAGAAAGATCGCGATTCGAGCTCTAGACGTTTTTGGACGCCCAAAGTCCACTACGTCACGAAGACGCGCGCCTTGCAAAATCTGGTTAATTTCGCCCCTAATATTCCAGGCTATATAATATTTTTTTACAAAAAAAATTAGTTACCGGGCGAAACCGGGTTTTTCAGGCAAGTGAAATGAATAGAAATTGGAAAAAAATAATTAAAACAGCTGAATTTTTCCGCGGGTGAAATCCCGGGGGTTGAAAGGGGTGGAAAGTGGTGTTTTGCAAATTGTGGCAAAACTATTAATTTTAGACGTAAATGTTAAATGTAAAAGTTATAGAGATTAAAAAAATGAGTAACTTTTGTATCTGCACTATTTTCACATAACCTCCAATTTTCCTAGAAAAACCCGAAAAACTGTTTTTTTCGTTTTTTATTCCTACTTTTGCGAAAAAATGTCGTAAGGGTTTGAAATTTGGCGGAAACATAGCTTGTTTTATGATAAAAAAGAAGATGCGATTATTCTTTGGGACTGTAAAGTTGAACCGTTTCCAAGATCTCACGATTTCTGAAAAAAACCACCTCTTTTTCGAGGGGATGAAAAATCTATTTTTTTGCATCGTACGGAGGTGCGCGGGGTAGCAAATGTTCGGGAAGGCTTATATTTTATTAAACCAAAATAAGAAAATATTATTTCTATAGCAAAAATTCGAGAAAATCGCCAAAAACTGGAAAAACAGTTTTAAGATAGCTAAATTATGTTGGATGTTAATAAAGATTTTTTCGAAATCTGTCTTCTTGCTTCTCTTTAATATGTTTGCTTAAATATTCTCTTTTGTGATCTTATGTTCAACTGTTGTAGTTAAAACATCTTTATTATTTCTTTTTTCTGCATTTTTACCGCAATAAAAGCAATTCGAAATAAACTCGGATTATCTTGCTTCCTGATTCCTGAACAATTTCTTTTTGTTCACTGACTCTTCTTCCTGCCTGTTTTATGCTGATGCAATTGCGTTGGGCCTGTTCATAAACTTGCAAAATCTGCAATAAGAACGTTAGTTTTACCGGCTAAAGCAAATGATTTGAGATGTAAAACCTGGAATAAACTTTATGAGGATTTTATTCATAATTCCTGTAAATTAACTATCAACAGGCCCAGCTTAATCCCATCAGCTGTAAAACAGGCAGGAAGAAGAGTTAGTGAACAAAAACAAATTGTTCAGGAAGCAAAAGAATTCGATTTTACTTCAAATTGCTTTTATTGCGGTAAAAATGCAGAAAAAGAAATAATAAAGTTGTTTACATAAGGTACTTGGGGCACTAGGAAACAAAAGAAAATATTTTACCAATATTAAAGAGGAGAGAGAAGACAGATTTCAAAAACTTTTTATTAGCGCTCAAAACCTACCACGAGTTGGAACGGCCACCCCATTTTTTTTAAGTCGTAATGGTCTTCTTCAAAAAAAATGGGTGATGCTCTATACACCACATTGCATACAGGGTCCTGGTCAGCCAGAGGACTAGTAAACGTAAGTTCAACGTACTCTATCCTTTTCATACTCAAGTTGCCTATCATTTTTCAATAAAATCGCGGAAAATCTTTTACGAGAGAATGGACAAGTTTTGTGAAATTTATTAAAATTGTATTCGTGTTCCCAAAATACCATTAAATTTATAACAACTCTCGATTTAACTTGTTAACCTCCAGTCTTTAATAAAATCGAAATTAACTCATAAAGTTTTTAGGAGAAATTTTGGTGGAATTTTTGGCGATATCGGATTCGGTTCGCTCATGGTACGCTAGTGGATCGTATTGCTCTTGACAAGATTACGTATCGAGCTTTGAGAAACTGCCTACCAATGCCGTGTGAAACTAAGGCGAGTTCGACATAAATCCTACTTACTTGATATTTCCTTCAATTTGGGACAAAATCAGATCGTAGCTTGCCAACTTTTTGTGATTTATAGACAAATTTGTAACGAAGCTTATCAACAATAAGTGGAAAAGTTTGAATGCAATTTATGTCGAATTTCCCTTTAGCTCGCTCCCCACGATTTCACCACGTAGAAAAGCGTAATTCCGACTGAATGTCTTTTGGTACCATCAAGACCTTTATTGTTAATTCACAGTTCGTGTGAAAATTGCAATGTTTCGATAGCCCTTTGTAAATGTTTGCTATTATACTCAGACGAAAACGATTTAAGTGCAAAGGGGCCCTTATTTAAAAATCTCGCGAACGGCTTTTTGATCTTTCAAGTGTGCGAACTCCAAGAATCTAACCCTCATCCTTGGCCCTCTATATCAAACCTTCACCATTCAGACTTTCCAAATGGAACTATCGATTGGGAAATTAGATTGTTAGCCTATTTTCGTAAGCGCACTTTCGAATCGAATTATTTATTATTAGACACAATCGGACGAAAAAATGATCGAATCGGTAACACTTACCCCCTTTATATTTAGCTGAATTGGTCGCCGGAAACTAACAATTTTTAAGTTCGCTGAAAAAAATCGTCTACTACATGTTAACAAAAGTTTTTCATCGACGAGAATCGGCGCGCGTCTACAATTCGGAAGCACAAACCCGTTCCGTTTGATGTAACCGACGCTTACTAAACAGGCGTCGTGTTTTGAAGACGCTACTTTTAGAATCGGCGACGCGCATTCTCATGCGGATTGTGCATGCGCCGAGAAGGTGAAAAGTTGAAAAAGAGGGAAAAATTACATTCGAATTTTCTTTTTTTAATTGTTATTATGACGCATTTTGTGTTTTTGTGTGGTGGATCCTGATCCAAGACGTTACGGTCACGTTGTTGATTGTCATTTCGTTAAACCTTTTCGCAGTCCAAAAGGTATGACAATCTAACGTTTTGTGCCACTGCCATATACAGTGTGTCCCAGACAAGGATATCTATTATGGGGATCTCGGAAACCATAGACGATACAATGGTGATCCGATTAGGGGAAAAGAGGTTTTGTGTTTATTTTTTGTATCTACAGAAATAACTATTGCTACTAAATTAAACAAAAGTTGGAAACGGTTGGTTTCAACAGCACGGTGCACCCGCGCACAACGCCCTATTTGCACGGGTATGCCCATCGGACAAATTTCTTGGAAAATAGAAAATTTGTCCCACAACTACCGTAGGCGCACGAAATTTCTCCGACAGTAAGCCCCTTCACAAAATAAAATACACTCCACTGTATTTTACAGGTGGTTGACCTTACTGAGCTTGCGACTCAACGCGAATTTTCTGACGGTTCCTTCAGAACAAACCAGCTTCCCATTACTTTACCTTTCTTACGTTCTCAAGCAAATTTAAACACAGGACCGCCAAATTCAAATCGTCAGAATCGACTTGCCGTTCTTTAGTCTCCTCCTATCACGTATGACATACAGTGCCCTCTTTGGTAGGATTATTCTTTCCCGGAAAAACACTAACTTGTGGAAGAGTTTGCTACAGTTGTCACATATCTTTCCATGGCAACATATCGCGATGGCGTGTCCTGGCCCTCCTGTGAGCGTGCTACACAGTGGTTTTAGGCGATCAGTCCCATTGTTGTACACTCAACACCGCCCCTCATTCATTGCTACCTATCAAGACCCAGGATCTTGCATTGGCCGTCTTCATTCGACCATTTGGACGGCCCAGGGATATCACTAGCGTTAATTAATGTAGATAAGATCACCATATTGTTGTATAAATAACGTCATGTAAGCGTTACTAAACACCAAAAATAATACGTGTCACCCTGTATATGACAATATTTCAGTTTATGCATTGTAAATCTAGAGGATTATGTACGAATAGCATAAAGTTGGTTTATTGTATTTGAATTTGTTATCTCAGTGCCTATTTTTCCTTTTAGAATTGTTTGTAAATTATGTATTTAGATATGTGTATTTAATGTAAAACATCTGGACATCTGGACGTTTGTGATAAGGAGTTTTATCGGGCGAAATTTAATTAACGCACGTCTTCTTATCGCGTGTGGAACCCTGACAACTGAAGGTAGTTGCTCCTCAAAGGGGTGTCCCGGTCGAAACCTATATCGCTGGAGGGAGGGGGCTCCTCTCCCCTCTAAAGCGGCAATATCACTGCCGAAGACCGCCACCCGACACCTCCCCGTTTGCGTTGCCGCGAAACAAACGCTAAATTCATTTAAGGCCTCGGAGATACGCATCCTATTGCATGTACGGGGTCCGCTTTCTCTAAATACCTCTGCCGAACCGTAAGGGTACGTGTCCGCTTACGAAGTTTGGCACAAGAATCACGGCCCTGCAACAACTTTAACTGGTGGCCACGTGGTAGTTCCATCTGCAAAACCAATTCTGCGAAACTGCATGTTGACCGGTTCCCTCGCCGGTTCCCCTGTCTCGTATAATGAATGGCTCCTTTGATTGGCAGTAATATCACTAGCTAAAGTTACAGTAACCAAATTTAAGGAATCCGACGGCAAATGACAAGGGCATATAAAAAAATTATTTGCGGTCCATAATGGCTGAAAATAGGAATCAAAATCTTATTATTCCACCAACAAGCTTTTCCCTCCAAACTTCAATCTTATAGGGTTGCGCTGACTTGCCGTAGCTTGCTGACATCAGGTTTACTGTCTTTCCAGAGTACTGGTGAAAACCTCTGGTTCCAATTACAAACGTTATGTTAGATTGATTCCGCTCATCAATAAAAGTTGCAAAGTATCTCACGCCGTCTAGGCCAATGGGAATCACTGATCCGCTCACGTCAGAGCACTCGAGACGAACGTTTTTTATCGCGCAACATGAAAGGTGTCTAAGTCTTCTTCCCGATCACGCATGGTTCGCACACGATTTGCTTGCTCACATTACCAATAGTGAGTTTAAATCCAACGACCATTTTCACCTGAATTAATTTTTCCATGTTTCTACTACTCAAATGACCAAACCGACGATGTCACTGTAACGGGAGCCCGCGAAAGTACTTTCTTCAGGTCGATTTTTTAAATGTTCGTTATTGATAGGTTGTCTTGTATATATAAATACAGGTGTAGGGACGGAAAAGAATAATCCTACCACAAGGGAAAGTGCCTGTCGTAAAAGAAAATTGGGCGAAAGCTTCCTAGACACGGTCCTGACTTATTTGCGTGTGAAAGCTTTGTGGGGACAGGAAGTCGGGAGATAAAACAAAATTAATGGGATATACGCGATCGGGTAGGGTAGTTAGGGTAGGTAGTTTTAATTGCTGTATATGTTACGCACAAATATCGAAAACGCTCAATGAGCGAAAATAACGCACACAACGCGTTATGGCCGAAGCTAAATGACCAAACACCGAAATTAAATATTTTTATGTGTTATGGTCGTTAACGCACGCGTTGTGGTCATCTTAAAAGCGACCACAACGCGTTTTGTTCGTTTGAAGAATGACCATAATACATTGAATTATTTATTAAATGACAACATTAAAAAATATAATATATTTCGAAAATAACAATGTCATGCACACATTGTTTTAGTCTAAACATGAAAAATTATGACGGGGCATCCTGTATATTTACAAATGAACTTGTTCACACTTATGCGCTGTGCGTGAAACCGGCATTCAACACCGCGCGTACCTTCGGTCGACCGATGCGGCGAGTCGATTTTAGTGCAACGCGCGGCTTATACTCTAATGCAAAATGATATTGAATTCTTGATAAATGCAATTCAAGAATGACCTGGTTTGTTTTATGGTATATGAAAAATAATGATTATACAAAATTAATTCCTCCTTTGAGTCGCATGAATTCATTTTTGATACTAATTATTACTGACAACAACGTGTGTGTCATATCAGGAGGGTGCCGAGTCGTTGGCCGACTTGGTGAAAACCGACTCTTGTGTTTAGGCTTTAATTGTGATGGGTGGATTTATTTAAAAGTCCTGGAGAAAGAGATTTTTTTAATAGTAGAAGTGGTGTTTCGTTAGATACTGGAATCAACCAAAAAAACGTGACTGGTTCGCGACGGTCGAAAAGCGTGTACTTTACTTTACGCAATTTTTATTCGCGCTATTTGATACGTGTTTCGTGGGCGGTGTAGTTGGCCGCATTCCATTGCACACAGCAATCCTTTACTTAACATGAAAATAAAGTTACCAGCAAGCATTTAATATCGATAAATAAATAAAACAAGTCATTTTGAATTAAAACATGCAGTTTTTAGACAACATGCTTTCAAAAAAATTATCGGTAATTTTGATGCACTTGTGCAATTACCTACGATAATACCATTACTAACTTGAAATCAAACTAATAACAGAATTACCAGCGATACATCGCATTAAGGAAACACGTTAAAACTGAATAAATCCGGTATACGGTTGAAACCATCCAATTCGCATTGCGGTTGCTTCTAAAATGACCACAACGCGTTATGGGCATAATAATTCACGACCATAACACGGAAAAATATTTAATTCCGGTGTTTGGTCATTTTTCTTCGTCCATAACGCGTTGTGTGCCTTATTTTCGCTCATTGAGCGTTTTCGATGTTTGTGCGTAACATATACATAAGGTATGGTTATTTACATAAAAGTCAGGAAAATGGCACATTACTGACGAGGAAATATTGAAGTACGAGGCCCCTCTGGGGCCGAGTGCTTTAAATTCTGAGTCAAGTAATGTATTTTACTGACAAGTTTTGTATTAAATTTTGCCCGAAATCGTATTGTAACATACAATTTCAATTTTTGATTAATGTCAATCTGTCAGTGATGACAGGAGTCATTATAGACATTTAGCAATGTCACAAATGCGGATAGTAGGTTTTAGGGCGATTTTGGGTAAAAGTTTTTTTTTCTATTTATTCAATACAAACATATTTTTTAAGGGTATTGATGGATCCGCATTTTGTGGTTTAAATACTCGATCGGTTCATTTTTAATCGGTTTGAAAATTTTAAAAGGAAAATTTCCACTGACTGTAAAAGAGTTCCATGAGAATTCAATACTAAGTAAGGAAAATGTTCTGAGATGATTGTTCTGAGATAGATTGTGATTTCTTTGGAAAAAGAGGATGTTTATTATTATTATTATTATCCCTCTCTTGTTTTGGGCCCTCAACAGGCATGCGCCCAATTAGAGAGTGACCCGCATAATGCTATTTAGAGGTGCCTCTGCAGAAGGTCTTAAGTTGGGGGGGGGGGGGGGGGTTGTTACATTAGTAATCTGAAAGTGGCACTTCAATGGTTTAGAACAATTTAGGCACTGGGTTTTTCAATAAAGTTAATAATGATTTTTTAGGGCGATTTTGATTAATTTTAAATTTTAATAAACCTGAATACTTTGATTTCTATTTCTATTGGCCCTCAAAGTGGTCTAAGGCATCTTTGCAATTTCATGTGTGGAAAAGCAAGGTCTATTTTGTGTGTGGCCGTAAAATTGAGCTAGCCGTCGGTATAATTTGTGAGAAAATGATTTTGTCATTATTTCAAATTCAACAAATCTAATAATGTCTTTCTAAATTTGACCACAACACATAAGAGATTTACTAAATTCGTCCGTTATAGTTTCCCATACCGCTAGTCCATAATGAATCCATACTTGCTACGTCACTTTTATCCCGAGCTGATCGACCCTCATCCGAGAAGAGGTTACACACCAATTCAGGCACATAAAGTACATTGCTGACCTAACATTCAATGTATTTACCCCTCTCCAAGGGCCAACACCCTTATAGTTCTCAAATGCTTAGCCAAAATCATTCATTCGTTTTTTGCCACAGGGATTCTAGCGGTTCCAGTTTCTCTATCGTTCACCAGATTGTTTGAGCATTCCGAATCGATACAGCGCGGCAACCGATTAGGTTCATCCGCAGAGACCACTTCAGTAGTTATACCGCAGAAGAAACGAGCTGACCTGTAGATTTTTGTTTTCCATTATTTTCACTTTTTCTTTTCTTTGGACATTCATTAACCTTGTGGCCTTGTTTTTCGCATACAAAGCACCTTAATGGTTTTTATTTTTTTTTTACTGCACAAAAATCTAGACGATCCATCTTTTACATTGCCCAATTCTGACTCTTATTTCCTTTCGCTGCACTTCTTCATGAAGCAGTCCGCCTTCTCGATGGCGGTTACCACGGTAGGATACAGTGGTCCCAATGCGAGAGGCAAACGACAAATGATCTCTATGTCCTTCATCCGTCACTTTACAGGCCGCATTTGTGACATTTACAAATGTCTATAATGACTCTTGTCATCACTGACAGATTGACATTAATCAAAAGTTCTATATAAAAATTGAAATTTTATATTAATAGTTATTTATTAGCCGAGCGAGCTTGCGAGCGAGGCACAAATAAACAAGGCTAGTCCCCATAAAGCCTATTTATGGACGCGATATATATGTACGACTGCAACAACCCTTAAAAATGAAAATTTCATGGAATTCAATAAACGATAAAATGTATATACCATTGACAACAGATGTCAAGCATTTGTCAAGTATTTCTGAAATACTTGAATTTACCTTGGATTGACACCTAAGTACGACTGTCAGTTGTCACATTGACAGGCGGCCGTTTCACTTTATCATTATGGACTAGGCCATAATATTGCAAATTATGGCCACTAATTGCCACTGTAATCACCGCATTATCAAGCAGTCGTATACATAAAATACGATTTGATACTTGATACTTTGGCATATGCCTGTCGTAGCCGCCTCTCACAGAATTTAGTCAACTGTCGCGGGGATGTGTCCCTGATTGGTACTGATAGGGGTGCATCTCCACCACTTTGTTGCCATTGCGCTGAGCCGCGACATATGCCAAACAATGTGATAGATTTTGTGGATTGGGAAGGTTGTGGGGTGCGGCTAACTGGGTGATATCCGACCCGAAAGGGTACGGCCGCAGCTTCGCCACTGGGATATCTGCATTAGAAGGAACGCTGCTTCCTAGTGATGGCCTCGTCCCCAGGCGTTCTACTAGTTTCCGCTGCCTCCATCCTTTTGTCTCATTTCCTTCCTTCTTATTTCTCCCTTTCTTATTTGTTGTCCTCTCTCTGCCTCTTTTTCTGTCTCCTCCTCCTCTGGGCTGCTTGTGCATATATCTGATTCTTCCTCCACCTCCAGTACTCGTCTGCTTTCTTTCTTCAATTGGTGTTTGTATCTGCTCCACTTTTCCCGCGGCTAAAATTTAATACAAAACACGTCAGTAAAATGACATGATCTGACTCGGAAATTAAAGTACTCGGCCCCAAAGGGGCCTCGCACTTCGATATTTCCTCGCCAGTAATGTATCATTTTCCTGACTTTTATATAAATAACTATTGTTTTTATTATACCTGCATCAGAATCGCTGTTTAAAACACCACTGAGCATGCGTAAAAAGGCGATTATAACAAGTCGAGCTTTAAAGGTTGCTAAGTATCGTTACTTCAAATATGAGATAATATAATATAATAAAAAATAAAATAAAAAATATGACATATGAAACTATGTTTGTAATTTGGGATTGAAATAAGATATCCTCTTGGATCGCGGCTTTCTACAAATGAAAAAGTTGTCTTTGGCTCGTATCCTTTGTGGGAAGCTTTCACAAACTCCCGTGGTTTAGAGTAGAGTAGAGAGCTGACATATCTGTTCCACTAAGGTTCCACTTTGTAATCGCCATATTGATTGAAGTTTTGAATGAATGCACCGAAGGGTAGAAGATTTAAATACCTACCTTTGACATTTCCTTCAAATATGGCAGCATGAACGATGCATTTGTTTGAAACCTTGAGACCTTGGCCCGTATGAATAAAAGTAAGCAAATGCTTATACTTGCAAAATTCGAAGTAAATACTCATCAGTGCTCCTTCGCACTGGGCGACTTAGCAGCGCTTCTAAGCAGAAGGACAGGACGCAGTGCAGCGCTGCTAAACCATGCTAAACAGACCAGTATGAAGGGGCAGTTACGAGTATTTACTTTGAATTTTGCAAGTATAAGCATTTGCTTACTTTTATTCATACGGGCCCTTGTTTGAAAGATGCTTCCTATTACCCGGTTGCATAAAAGTACGGTTGAACCGCTGGTTAGTGAAACTCCGGTTTGGGGTCAACCGTCGGTTGGAATGAAACGGGTTGCATAAACGCTATATCTCTGTCGGTTGAGGAACCAACGGTTGGTTTTAGATTTCTACGGTTGACTACACTGACGATTCGGTACTAGCCAATCCGCTTTTAGTATACGGAAAGCGCGGCAGCCGTGTTTGTAGTGTGCGCATGACAAATGCGTAATGGGGTATTCACAGAATAAGACCTTCAGGGGTATTTGACAAGGCGTAAAACTAATAAACGTTGTCATCTTTCATGTAGTCTCTAAATTGAAAGGGACAACTTCTTATCCTCCCCCCTCCAATAAATATGATAGCTTGCATTCAAGATTGGGTGTTATATTGTAACAAATTACTGCGATACCTTTAATTCTTTGGATTGTGGGTTACAGAGGTTTTGGTTTCTGATGGTATCCAAATTGAAAAAAAAATTAAGAAGAAAACCTTAATCCTACAAATAACTTATAATGTTCTCAACTCCGCTGAATTAGCTACGCATTTTGGTTTTCTAAAGATCTCACGGTATCTTATCTTAAACGAAATCTCTGCCAGAATTCTTCATAGTACCATCTTTGATAGTATAGTATTTGATATAGGTACTCTCTTTCGAAAATTTCTAGGTGCTGGGGCTGCCCTCACATGCTCTTCATACTCGGATGAAGGGTTTTTTGCCCACAGGAATCTGCCTCTCCGTCCTCTGTCTTCTTCCTCGGAATCACTTTCTGTCCACAAAAATCTAGCTTTTCCATCTTCAATTCTAGCCATTCTGAACAGCGCTTTGCACTGAACGCACAAGAAATGAGCGATATATATTTGACGTTTGTATTAATTTGTATGTACCAACCTCACTTTTACACAATTCCCGTATATGTAGTGTTTATGCTGAGCAAAACGATGATGGAAAATCACAAGCACCGTTGAGACCACATCACAAGAACCAACAAAAGCGCAAATATGAGCAGAAAGAATGGTTGTCAAGTTATTTTTGTTCTTGCGAACGGATCGACTGGGCCGTCAACCGTCGGTTGAAGCGACTCGACCAGTGGATTTCCGCCGGTCGAAATTTCGCCGGTTCAACCGAAATTTCTGAACATCGCCCAAAAAAAATTCCTGTCTATAATTACAAGCCATGCTGAGAAGTTTGGCAACGTTGTTCGAAAGTCAATCGGTGGGCCGATTTAAGTTTTAATGGCGTCTTGTTGCTCCTGAAAAATGGCATTTTCCTCTCCTGTGTTTCGCCTTGGCGGTTTTAATATAGAAGAAAGATACTTAGGCAGCTTAAAATTGTGCATATATATTATTTATTTACAAAAATGGATAATAACATTTTTATTTGACTTTAAAATTCGGAACGCTGTAAATTGGTAACTGCATCATAATGTGTTTTCCATTGAGATCTCCGAAATTGGTGAACTTCTGTCGAAAGATGTCAAAGTGAAGCACACGCTTGAGCACTTAATTTCGGCAAAAGGACAGTAAATCGCTGTGAATCAGCGAGGTTTTATCAACGACCAGATGTGATTCGGAATGGCAGACTTTAAGCCAGTCCCTACTCCAGTGGGTCTAGGTACGCAGCTTTTAAAGAGGGGAGCCCCATAGACTTCAAATTCCCGTACCGTGAACTCCTGGGAATAAGTTGAAAGGTTCCTTCAGAAAATCGATTTTACATGTCCGTGCTAGAATACCTGAAATACAAACTAATTGTATTTTTTCACGATAAACACTTACCGTACTTACGTACCACGTAGTGTGTAGGTCATATTTGAGCTTGTACAGGTACTTTGAACCAATACAAGTGCCTGTAAAGGGCCCAGTAAGGAGTAGCCTGCTTTAGAGGTTATGACAACAAATCGATATATTTCGTTTAGCAACCTGAACAATAATTTCTGTTTGTTCCGTAGGGAGTAACACAAATTGTCGCAATCTCGCTCTGTTAAAACAAGTAAATTGGAATATTACACCCAAAACACATATAAAATACACCCAACATCTGTCAAGTTGAATTAGGAAATCGGCCTACCATGCAGTGTTGCCATAATTCTCAGCACGGCTTGTAATTATAGACGGCTATGGCTGTGGAAAGACGGTGATTTTTATTATGGGTTATAGGCGAACGTCAAGTGACATTTCCATGGCAATCATGGAATGACAAATAGCCAGCCCACTTATTAGAAATGTATTCGAGTATAATGTCAATATGATTTCATTGTATTTCCCTTATTTTTAAATTATATTGCAGGTATAATAAAAAATACTATAAGAAACGCGTGTATAATTGGTCTTTAAAGCACTTTACTAGTTTATAACTAACACGTTATAGATTATTTATTTACGCAGTTGCATAGCAACGTGGGCTTAACTGCACGTGTTGGATAAACAAGTAATAAACCAGTTTCGCACGTCAAAAGTGACAACACTCAACGGACCATGCAGCCGAAACTTACACAATTACAGGAGCTTCGCCGATTAAGCGACCAAAGACGCCCACGTCCTTTAAAGCCGAAGGTTTACGTTAACGTACTCGAGGAAGAATGTAAAACAGGTCTCACCGTTGCACCCACCAACTCGTCTTGGTTTCAGTTCGACTTCTTTTGAAATCAAAAAAGAAACGCTACGGGAAGTTGATGTCGTTATTTACTTGTAAACGAAGACAAAGGCCTATGACAAGGGAGGAAGTGCATTACAAAATTCAGCAGCTTAACAGATGCTGCCTCTCTCACATCGATGACTCCTACAAGATCCATATCAGTCGACATAAAGGTGCGATTACATGGATGTTAATGCCATTAAGGTTGCCATTTTAGGAATACAAACCTTAAACGAGATCATAGACAAATCGGACTCGTCCGATCTGTCGCGCACTCAGATCGTTGCGTTAGTATGGAGTTCGATCAGTTGCCTCCATCACTTTTACATTCGCTTGAGGATCCGCGACCGCGGTTGTATGGCGTGGGTCAAAAGGAATCAGGCGAGAAAGTCGATAAGATCTTACGATAGGGTGATACAGTTCTGTCTCCCATACGCCTTCGATATCGTGCTAAATGCCATCATAACCTTTTTCACGGAGTCGAATATGTGGAGTACGGAGTATCTGTGCTCTCAGCTACTGAAGCGATTTCTGTATATCACCAAAGAGGGGGTGGTAACCGTTCACTCTCTTCTTGGTATGTACCACGCCATTTCGACAGTTATTCGACCGAAAGTTGCAGATATTGCCGAAAAGACTTCGACCACAAATGTAATGAGCGCTCGTCAGGTGATCAGGGTTCTCTACCAGGTTCTCAAAAGGTATCCATGGTACGATATGGATGACAGTTTGATGAGGAGACTACTGACAATGTACCACCATAGTATAGTACCAACGGACAGTGCATTTGACTATGTCCAACTGCGGACGGGCATAGAAGTAATGCTGAGGCATGTTTTGATGAACATTCCCAATGATGGTCTTCTGAAAGTGGTGAGTTTCCCCCCACCAATGCTATTCTGAGTGACATTACGTTAGATCAAAATTATGATCAAGTGGATTACCGTGCAGGAAATACCAGACGACGCCCTGCTCTATTTCTCAGATTTGATCGAATACACTGCAAAGTTACACAAGATCAATTTGTATCGCGATTCTCTTGAAGGCGAACTGTTCATGATGGTGTTGGAGTTGATCGGCTCAAAAAATCGCCTATACTCGCTTTTGGGAAATAGGGTTCTGCAACATCTAATGGACAGACATAGGAATGTTCAGCACTTTAGTACTCCTCGGTAAGTTGCAAGCTACTAATCGCTTGATGGTTTAGAATTTTTTTCGGAAATCTATCGTATGACATCGCCATTGGTCGATACAATTCGGAGGACAAGGCGTTTGTGCGCTTGTACCGTCAGCTTATTCATAACTCACTTTTAAACTCGATCAAGTTACATGGCTCGTCCAGGTAAATCACAATCTCGGGGCAGACTCACCTGCTTCTGTCGCAGAATCAACATAGAGTGCACTTATGCGTCCATCGCAATATTGATTGTGGAGGTGCCTTGCAGCTATATTGCCACGGTAATAGTGTGCTTGACGATGGGCATACAAGAAACTGCAATTACGACGACTGATATCGGATTGGCAGTCTCTCACCACATGCACGCCACTGTAATCGCACTAATCTCGCTTGTGTGTTGGGTGCACGACGCGCATGTACGAATCTATCACGCTTAACGTAGCTCTCTAGTCACGAATTGTTTAGATATTTTACGACTACGTGATAGCAATCATGACGATAAGGGCGAAGAACGCGCCCCACTTAAACCCTCCCCTGCGTACCAGCTACCCATACGCCCAGGACCACGTTCTGTGGAATAAACCGGAGATGTTCTTTGTGGATTGGGAGGTACGCTATTGCCTTTGGAAGTGTTTCAGACCTCGGCTAAGGAATGGCGGCTTGTAAAAGTTCCTTCATTAGCGATTTACTTGTTCGTTAATAACTTCTTTAAAGTTTGCCTGATCGATGTAACCTTAAACGAATTGTATTTATCTAAACAATAAACAAGAAATTATTATTCATGTAATTAGCGAATTACAGACTGTATTTTCTTTTACATCGCACTCCTATTAGTCATAGTACAGGTCAGGGATCAGTTTGTTGCATCCTGCAAGACTAAACCGGTAAAACACCAAAGAAGATCTCCCACGCAAACATTCTCGCAAACCGCCTCCACTTTCCTTAAACCCCCCATATCAAAATTATTTAAGTTTCAAATGCTTCAAAGTCCGAAATGGTTCAAGACTAAATTCAAGATTCCAAATGACTCCATTTGTAAGAGACTTCAAGTCAAATGACTTACTTAAGTTAACGTCAGATTCAAGTGAGTTCAAAATTAAAGATTCAGTGTTTAGATAGTACAAAATTAAACATGCCTCGTACTTCAAGCGAGGGGTTTGTGAATTGATCAAAACCCAAAATCGTTTAAAATCAGTAACGATTTGAGAATCAAGAAAATTCAAACTATAAGATGGTTTTACCGTATATCGAATATGATGTAGATCAATCAGAGATACTTTCAAATTCGAGAGCGTTCCAGACAGATTTCAAAAGATTTGAGAATGATTTGAGATTAAAATCCCAGATGGTTGACTATTCAAGGTCAATTAGTTTAGGAACGATTCAAGGCCCAAGAAGGTGCATAGTTGAAACTGGTTCAAGCGATTTGAAAGTGGTTTAAGACCGAAAATCGTTCGACATCCCAGATGATTCACTATTTAAGACTGTTGTAGGCTAATCATCATTCAAGTTCCAAAGGATTTAAAAGCGACTCAAGAGGCTACGATTCTAAATGATTTGGGTTTAAAAAGTTTGAGAACCATTCAAGGTTCAAAATGGTTCAAATTCCAAGATATAGATCGATATTCAAAATTGTTTAGGCTCAAAGACTGGTTCAAGGCCCAAGATGGTTCAAAATCCAAAGGTTAAAGAAAAGTGTTGTAATAAGTGAGACATCATAAATTTTGAATTACGTTATTTTGGTTTATCTGGGTTTCGATTTCCACTTCGCTTTCTTTCGGTGTTTCAGATTTTTAGACCACATGCCTTTATGCTTCGGATTTCCTCGGATTTTTGGAATTATAAAATTTTTTCTATTTCTCGTTGCCCTGTGTGATTCAATTAACCGTTTATTCCGTGTAGCAATAACCTAATACAGTTTCGATTCTTCCTCAGTATATGTTTCTTACTCGGGCTGTCGGGCGGTGTATATGCGTTAATCTTATTGTTGAATACTTGATTCGATTCCCACCTGCGCCATTTTCTTGTTAAATTAATTCTAGCCGATTCTGGAACTGAACCATGCTCATTTGATGCTCTCTATTGCTTTACGAGTTGTTTTTATATAATTTAACTTATTTATCGATGTACCAAATTGATCACTCTTTCTTTTCATTTCATATTGTAGCGAGTATCCTAGATACCGGAGCGCTAGCAACCGCCATCCAGGCGCCGTAAAAGATTTGTCACTGGCGATAAGGAAAGAAAACGGACGTGAGGCGTTCTTTCCGAAAAATTCGATGTCATCTTCGTAGGTATTCGGAAATTCTCGAGAATGTCCGTGATCTTCTTAGAAATGTGTCGTTTGTTATCTAAGCAAAATTATAATTACTGGAAGTTCCAACAGGCTATTGAACAGGTGGATAGGTAGCCATGGTCTCTTCGTTAACCTGAAAAAGACCCAGGTAGTTTCATTTACAAATAGAAGAACAGCGGACCTTGATAGGCTCACTCTTCGAGGATATTAACTGATTTTGACCAGGTTAGTGAAATATTTGGGAGTCATTTTAGACTCCCGCCTGGTCTGGAAAGGGCACATTGAGCGAATAAGCAAAAATACCACTGCATGTCTATGGGCATAGAAGGGCTTTTGGCTGTATATGGGGCTTGAACCATCAACTGTTGTATTGGCTTTACGTTGTAGTGATAAGGCCAATATAATACTGTGCCTGTCGAGAAGACACTGCAGCCATGAAAACCACGCCAACTTTGGCCATGGAGGCACTTCTGGGACTAAAGCTTTTACACTTATCTGTGTAGGCAAAGCCTCGGAAGGTTTCCATAAAACTAAACGATTGGGGCGAGTGGAAGGACCGAGGCAGCCTTGAGTACGGGCGTAAATGCAGAGCCTTTTTAACAGGGCCCCTTGGCAAATCTGTTTCTTTTAAGCTTATCAATCTGAATAGGAGCCAGATTAGGTAGATTACCGGTGTCCTTATGGGGCACTGGATGATCAACTATTCCTGCACAACCTTGGGCTTGTAGGGACCAGAGACAGATTAGCGTCAGTTATCTGGAACTGGGAAGAGTAAAACAACTTAGGCGAAACGGGGTCTTATCCTTTATTGAGAGGAACGGGTTCTGAACGTAGTTGTTAACGAAAGGGGGTGGACATAATGGGCCTTTGGTGTCCCTAAGTGCTGCCTGGTCGGGCACAAATAAAAGACACAAAACGTCTTCTACTCAGAAACACCACATGATTACAACTCATTTGTATTCAACCCAGACGCAAATCCAAACTAGCACTTATAAATAAACAACACACATTAGTTAAATTGATGTTATATTATAGGTCCACGTTTTTATTGACAATAACTGGTTACTACTTTAAACATAGGTAGAAAATGGATTAATAGAAGTTCCAACATCGACGTCCGCATGATGGTTGTGATTTCGCGCAAGTGTTATAAATCTACAACTTATAAATTTGAGTAATCGTTAACTGTTGTAAAATCAATATGTTTGAGTATTGCAATAGTCGTGTTCGCAATCCGAACAGTGTTCTTTTACGCCGCCATGTAATGTGATGAACATACAATGATAGCGAGAACAATACCTCATGGCTAATGTGGCGTTAGCTGTTTCTCCAATAACAGCTAAAAAAAAAGATTATGTATGTGTATTAGCTAACATATTACTTACTTCCATAAAGAAATACGCAATATCCTTCACAAGAATGACGTTCGGTAATATTAATAAAGCGACGACAGTTGATAACGGCTTGAGGGTCGTAGGCGGAATGTCCATAGCAACCATAGCAGTTGCTCCAGAGGCGACCTACGATTCGATGCGTTTAAAGAAATCCAAATTTATTTATATAAAGGTCAGGAAAATGACATATCACTGGTGAGAAAATATTGAAGTGCGAGGTTCCTTTGGGGCCGAGTAATTTAACTTCCGAGTCAAGTAATGTCATTTTACTGACGAGTTGTGTATTAAATTTTACCCGAAATCGTATTTTAATATAAAATTTCAATTTTTATATAGCACTTTTGATTAATGTCAATGATAACAGGAATCATTATGGACATTCAGTTGTGTGTCAAATTGGAATTCCCGACACTTCATTGGCGTATATTTCCGTAGAACAGGGGTTTACAGTAGGAAATTCGAGTAGTTTTGCGCATGTGCGGTGTTCTACTGCGGTGCAAAACATATCTCTGTCTTTGTTAGGTATGTTGGCACAGATGTTCCTTATTGAAAGTAAATGGGAGGCCATGTCTATGTATAATTATATGACCTAAAGTAAGCAATGTCACAGGTGCGACCGTAAGTGACAGGCGGGAGAAAACGTGGTCTGGTCTGCTAAACTAAAATTTCCATAAAATAGGCATGGAAATCAAGATTTCACGGCGATGTTGCGTAAACTTATTTACCATCTCTCTTATCTCCAAGAATGAATCTATCCCCATTCTAAATAGGTACTTTAATTGCAAATAACAATCTATTAATCTGCCCATATCATTTCTCAACAACTTTGTTATGATGAAAACTGACTATAAATCCACTTAACTACAAAGCGCCACTTGGTAATTATCAGCTTTTAAGGCCAATCCTTGTTCACTACGACTATGATCAGCAGAATATCGCCACTATCATCCATGGTGGTCCATAAGGATCCATCTTAGGACATCTTTTACATATATTCTACTAAAATTGTGCCGATAAAGGTTTAATTTAATGTTCCTAGGTATATGTGGTAGTTAATACCCAAGTTGGAGCACAATGTATATATACCCTATGGTACTTTTCGACCGTGATCATCTCAGGATAAAAATTATATCCTCTATTTAAATAAAGATTAGTAAAATTCAACTTAACGTAAAAGATATGGCAAACAATTTACGATTTCAATTTGAAATTCTCGCTCATAAAAATTCCTATGCTCCTAACGCCTTCTCAATACTCAAGAAATTATAACAAACACGTATATTCTCAATGTTTAAACTGTCTGAAGTCAAAGGGCCCGAATGCCTACTATAGTCTCACGTTACAAAGATGCGAAAAAATAGTGTGCGGTGGTGATGTATACCTAGACTTCGTGCAGAGCTGGGCAGAATACTTTCAAAAAGTATTTGAATACTAAATAGTAAATACTTTACACAAATCAAAGGTATTTGAATACTAAATACTTTTACGTCCAGCACAACCGAATACTAGATACAGATACATTGAAAAGTATTCAAATACTTTAAAAAATAAGTATTCAAATACTTTAGAACGTATTCGAATACTTTCAAAGGTATTCGAATACTTGTCACTCAAATACATTAAAAATTTAAAATAGTATTCTAGATAAAAGGCTTAATACTACTTAAAAAATCAAGTTATACTTTGTATGGGGTTAGCTTTTTTTTATATTTCTATTGTTATATACAAATTTAAGGGGAGTAAAAGCGTATTATTATTATTATATTATTATATAGGAGGTACCTACCAGGACCTTTCTTATACCAGTTATATCCTTAAGAATACGTGTACCAGTCTTCAAAGCGATCGTACGTCGTGCACATGATACGTACGCCTTTCTGAAATTAATCCTAGCGATTTTGGAACAGATCCATTTTTGACCATCCGTTTGTCCGTGTGCATGATAGTTTGTTTAGAAACTTTGAAAATTGGTACACATGGTCTTAAGGATATAAGAAAGATCCCTATTGTTTTTAAGTTACGTAGACTATCGAGTCAAAAAGTTTCACTCCAGGATCGTTCGGTATTCAGTTGTATCGGATTTTTATATTTGATTATGTGACAATGGAAACTTTCCCTAAACATTTCTATATTGTTCTCAAATATTTGAATAACTTAAAAGTACTGCCTTTTTTGAGGCCGGAAAAAAAAATTGGCTCAGATCGACCCGGAAAAAAATTTTTTTCTTATAGAATGTGGCCTGTAGAATCCATAATTTCAAACAGTTCCAAGATTGGGCTACTAGTTCAAAAGTTACAGCCCTTTGAATTTTCTTTCGAAATTGGTTTCTAGTCTATAACTTTTGATTGAGAAGTCTAGAAAAAGTACGAATTGATTTGGATTCTACGCACCAAAATTAATAAGAAAAAGTGTTTTCCCCAGAAATTTTGGTGTAGTCGATTTTTGGTAAAAAAGGAAGGTTATACACCGCCCTTTTTTGAGGCCGGAAAAAAAATTGTCTGAGATTTCAGGCTTACAATAGGAGTTAAAAATTAAAAAGTAATTAGTACAGCCATCTATGTTAATTGTAAATGCTTGTAGTTTAAAGACGCTAAGTATTTTAAAGTTATAGTGGGCAGCAAATTGGAGACCGTGCATAAAATCATAAACGTGTCGATACATACCTGAGGCAACACCTACACACATGAGAGCAACAGAAGCAATCACAAGTTTAAAATACATGTCTTCACAATGACAATAATACTAGTCTATAAGCATTTATTATATTATATGTAGGTGTCAAGATATTTAACCGATTATTCACGGCTTAACTGTTAATTATTATCTGCTTATCTTATCGTTATTGCGAGGAATAATACACTGATTACTATTACCCGTATTCCACTGATTGGTCACTGTATGACTTTATTTATATTTGCAACGCCAAAAATAAAATGCCCAGCCTGAAGCAGTTGTTGAACGACTTGCGGCATTAGTTTCTGAATAAAACTACTTCACAAATCGGATTGCGTATCAAAGGCGAGTATTTACAATGAAAATTCAAAATGTGTACAAAAGAGACGCAAATTTTCGTTTTATAACTACGTACTCCTAATTTGGATGTTTGAAAAGGGTTCAAACTCCAGAGCAACATGTATACAAAACCGTTAAAGAAGTAAGCAAAATGACTTGGAGAACCACGTAACATATCTCCAAATGAGATCAACAATATAGGCTTAATATTAACTTGCCCAAATGTTCCTTTTCTAGAGCTCTATGAAAGCAATGTTCGTGTTAAGTTGGTAATCTTTACTTAGCGCACCCGCTAACAGACTTGCGCAGTCAGTATGCGCTGTACTAGTTGTCGTTGTCGATATACAATAAATGTATGTGTCGTAGTGTTCTGATTCTGACCTTTTTCTCTTTACTTTCTCCCGCCGCTGTGCAAATATCAACAGGTTATGTGCCCAGTTAAATTGCCGTTGTTATAAGGGAAACTATTCGTGTGTGTCGCGACGTAAGTAAAGGAAAGAGCGGTTGTTGTGTACTCCGTGTGGAAATTGGAAAACGACAAACACCAAAATGGCCGACGGATTAAATGTAACGCACATCAATAAGTTTGATGGCAAAAATTATAATCAATGGAAGTTCCAACTAAAATGTGCATTAAAAGCAAAAGGTGTTTTTGATATAGCGTCAGGAGCAACCGTTAAACCAACAGAACCTGTTGCACAGGTTACTGCTTGGAATAAGCAAGACGCGCAAGCGATGTGCATTATTACGTCTACCATGGAGCTATCGCAAATAACGCTTATAGAAAATTGCGAATCGTCATTTGAGATACTGCAGAAAATGGACGGTGTTTATGCATTGAAGACCGAAACCAATAAAATGCTTGCCCATGAACAATTTCACAATTATAAAATGGCAGCCAATGATTCTGTGGTTCAACACATCTCAAAGGTTGAAAATTTAGCACAACAGATTAAACAATCTGGTGACCAAATAAGCGACGCTGCAATACTCACAAAGATTATAGGTACATTGCCGATGAAGTACAGAAATTTTAGACAAGCGTGGCTTTCCTTAGATGAAACTAAACAAACTATTCAAAATCTAACAGCCCGGCTTATGGACGAAGAATCCAGTCTGAGTGTACACGAAGCATCAGAAAGTGCATTGCTAACATCCAATGCAAGCAATAGTCGATCTAATCCAAAATCGAAGAAAAGTCTTGTGACCTGTTACAACTGTCGTAAAAAGGGTCATTTTTCAAAAGACTGTCGTGCTCCTCGTAAACAGAAGCATAGTGCGCACAGTAATACTAATGTGATGGAAACAAACCTCGGTAGTAACTACTCCGCCTTCAACGTGGAAAATCAAAAATTAATGGAAGAGATCCAGACAGATGAACTAGGATGGACTCTAGACAGTGGCGCATCAGCACACATGTCACCTTTCAGAAACCTATTTACTGATTTGGAGACGGTAACAGAATTCAATGTGAAGCTAGGTAACAACCAAGAGTTGGCAGTAAAAGGCGTAGGTTCAATTGAAATCGAATGTTTGGTCAACTACTCGTGGGTGAAAAGCATAATTACAAATGTTTGGTACGTTCCTGGTTTGAGGAGGAATCTGTTTTCGGAAGGTGCAATAACGAAGAAAGGAATGACCATCGTAAAAGAAAATCAATACGCGAACATTCTGGAAAGTGGCCAGTTAAAGGCACGTGCGGTGCGTGGATCCAATAACTTATATAGACTAATGTTTCGTACAGTTAATCGGGAACTAAATGTTGTTTGTGGAGATAATCTGAGGTTATGGCACGAACGTTTAGGACATGTGAATGTGCAAACAATTAAAAAAATGGTGGTGAACGGTACGATTGTAGGTGTAAATATGAACAATGTCGATGAAAACTTTGTGTGTGACGGCTGTCAATATGGAAAACAGCATAAGTTGGCTTTTCGTAAGTCGCAACCGAGAAATTCAAAACCAGGAGAGTACATTCACAGCGATCTATGTGGTCCGATGTCTGTACCTTCCTTAGGTGGTGCTCTGTATTTCGTACTTTTTAAAGACGATTGTACAGGCTATCGAATTGTGTATTTCGTTAAACATAAATCGCAAACGCTCGATTGTTTTAAACAATTAGTGAAATTGATTAAAAACAAGTTTGATTTTTGTGTAAAAACATTAAGAGTTGATAATGGCACCGAATATGTAAACCATGATTTTCGGAGTTTCTTGTCAGATAACGGGATACAACTCGAGACGTGTGCTCCATATAGTCCCGAACAAAATGGAAAATCGGAACGTGAGAACCGTACAATAGTGGAAAGTGCAAGGTCAATGATATACACAAAGGACATGCCCTTACATCTGTGGGGCGAGGCAGTAAACACAGCGGTGTATATCCTAAATCGCACCTCTAACATTCATACGCCAGGCTCAACACCATACGAGATTTGGACAAAGAAAAAGCCCTCAGTACAACATTTAAAAATCTTCGGATGTGAAGCATTTATGCAAATTCCTGATTGTCAACGCAGTAAGTTACAAGCCAAAAGTAAAAAACTTATATTTGTAGGGTACCAGAACGAATCTTCGAACTACAGGTTGTTCGACCCAGTAACGAAGCAAATTAAAGTGTCACGTAACGTATCGTTCAACGAGAATAACGACGTTAAACTACCTCGTGTAAATACGATCGTGGTTCCGCTAACAACAAACGATCAACAAGATGAGGCTTCCGAGCAGCAGCAACCTGGGCCACTTGGGGTAACAAATGAAGATACCGAAGTCGTTGGCCAGCAGGCGGAATTATCGGGGTATCAGTTGCGAAACCGTGGAACTATTCGCAGACCACAATGGTATGATGACGATGAATTGAATATGATTGAGGCGACCCCTGGAACTTACGAAGAGGCTATTAATGGCGTAGATGCTGGAAACTGGAAAGCTGCCATTGACGAGGAGCTAGATGCGCTGGAGAGGAATAACACTTGGAGTCTAGTGCCTTTACCACAGGATAAACAATCCATCGATTCAAAGTGGGTATTCAAAGTAAAAACAACAACAAACGGGAAGCGATACAAAGCGAGGTTGTGTGCACGAGGATTCGCTCAAATCAAAGGTACGGACTATAATGAAACATATTCTCCTACAACACGCTACGATACAATCAGAATTTTGTTAGCATATGCAGTTCAACAAAATTATAAGATTGTACAGTTTGACGTGAAAACCGCGTTTTTGTATGGAGAATTGGAGGAAGATATTTACATGGCGCCACCTTTGGGAGTAACCACGGAACAAGGTTTGGTCTGCAAGTTGAACAAATCCCTGTACGGATTAAAACAGGCACCTAGATGCTGGAATAAGAAGTTTGGTTCGTTTCTGAAATCGTTTGGTTTTAAACAATGTGAAAGTGATAAGTGTGTATACGTAGGAAACTTTAATAATGAAACTGTAATTTTGGTAATCTATGTTGACGATGGTTTAATTCTAACCAAGAAAGAAAATTTGCTTCATAAAATTACAGATAAAATGAAACAAACGTTCGAAATAACAGTAAGTAAACCTAACTGCTTTGTAGGACTTGAAATAAATGTTGATAATGAAAATGGATCAATATTTATTTGTATTTCAAGCTTCATCGATCGTATGTTGAAACGGTTCAATCTTGAAGATTCGAAGCCATCGACTCTACCCGCAGATCCAAATGTAATATTGTCAAAGGATAATGATCACATCAAGGACGAAGGAGTTCCATATAGAGAAGCCGTAGGCTCACTTATGTTTGCAGCAATAACCGCACGCCCTGATATTGCATTTGCCGTTAATGTAGTAAGTAGATTTCAAAATAATCAGGGTGCGCCTCATTGGAATGCTGTCAAACGAATTATGAGGTACCTAAAGCATACAAAGGATCTGGGAATTAGGTACACGTTTAGTGACGAACCTGTACATGGTTTTTCTGACTCGGATTACGCCAGCGATGTCGACACGAGAAAATCCACAACTGGCTACGTCTTCAACATGGCTAATGGAGCGATTACGTGGTGCAGTCGTAGACAACAAACGACCTCTGTATCGACTACGGAAGCTGAATATGTCGCGGCGGCGGAAGCCACCAAAGAAGCGATTTGGTTGAGACATCTGCTCAGTGAGATCAGTGGTAAATCAATTGAAAATGTGCAACTTTATGTTGATAATCAAAGTGCCATTAAACTAGTGAAAAATCCCATATTTCACAAACGGACAAAACATATAGACGTTAGGTATCACTTTATTAAAGAAAAATTTCAGAATGGGGATATCAAAATTGAATATGTACGATCAGAAGATCAATTAGCAGATATCCTCACAAAACCACTTGTTAGTGTTAAATTTAACAAACTTAGGACAAAACTTGGAATGATGTAGGTAATATCTTTTATAGTTTTGATTGTTGTTTGTTGTTATCCAAGCTCAGATTACAAGGGGGTGTTAAGTTGGTAATCTTTACTTAGCGCACCCGCTAACAGACTTGCGCAGTCAGTATGCGCTGTACTAGTTGTCGTTGTCGATATACAATAAATGTATGTGTCGTAGTGTTCTGATTCTGACCTTTTTCTCTTTACTTTCTCCCGCCGCTGTGCAAATATCAACAGTTCGTTCATTCCATATTTTTTTAACCACAATTTAACGTAGGAAATAGACTAAGGTGGCAGTACTCTAATCCACACAAAAAATGATGTTAAACAATATAAATGGCTGAATCCAAGATAACAAGTCAGAAGTGAAATTAGATGGGCAGAAAGAAAATTAATATTGAGTAATTAGTATTTGATTGCAGGATATAATGTGAATTTTGGTTAACTGAATTTAAAAGGGACAAACACTACAAAGTGAAAGGTTTTGTTAAATTAATTAAGGTTGGAAAACAAGAATTGACGTAAATAACCAAAATGGTGCACGTCATCAATGCTCTTTTTGAGGAATATTGTAATGCTGATAAAATAAAAGAAACTTTTTGTTATAAAGGGGGGTTTATTTTCCTTTGTTTCGCTTCTTGGTAGATACAGTGGCGGATTTATATGTAGCAACACTAGGCACGTGCCTAGGGGCGGCTGTTTTAGAGGGCGGCATTTTTTCGCACTATATTTATTTTAGGTAATATTTTAAGTTTTAGTCCCCTAACATGTTACAACAGGAGAAACATTTTTTATTAAAATTATGGAATAAATTGGAATTGGTAGATAGTTTAAACAAACTGTAACTGTAAGAACCTTAGGTACCTATACTGTATTTCTTTTCATATTAGTTTTAAAAATTTCATGTTATACAGTACAACCTCGATAATCCGAATACACGCTAGTCCGAAATCGCGATAGTCCTCGTAACAACGATGACACCCCTGAAGACGTTGAAAAGAATAAAGTTTATTTCTTAATGCTTGTCCGAAAAGTCGGTGGTGCGAATCTATTCGAATTAACGAGGTTGTACTGTAATGTGATTTTTATTAGCATCTTAAAATTTATTGCAATTTAAAGATTATTTTTGAAGGGGCGCTTATCTTTCGGTGTGCCTAGAGGCGCAAAAAATTTAAATCCGCCACTGGGTAGATATAATTAATATTTACAGTTAGTAGCCATATAGAGCCGGTGATGGACCAGTTCAAGATCGCTTTTGAAAGTAGGTAGAGGTGAAGCTCAAAGATCACTATCCTCTGGTGGTGGCTTGGAGGGTTAAATGAAGGTTCGCTTGGTTCCTTGTGGTGACCTTGAAAGTTAAGTTCCAACGTTGATACCAAACAAGTTTTTCGAATGTTAGCGACAATTTTCACATAACGTTTCCCGATACCAGCATTGCAGAGAGCTTTCAAATGAAACAAGTTAAAAAAGTAATCGTAGCGATTTACAAAAAGCGCATTTCCACTTGCATTCGTTTCTCATTTGTAAGGTGCAACTTCTATTAGATTGTAGTAAAAATCCGACCACAAGTAAGAAAGTTAGAGTTGCATATGTGCAATCTATTTGTGACCTGCTACTTCAATTTCAGTATAAGAAGAATCCTACCCTAAAATTGTAGAAGAATTGGTTCACAAATAATGAATATGGGTCTGGGCATGCGCAACAATTACTGTGTTGCGTGTTTTTAGTCGGATCGAATTGCGCATGTGCAAAAGAAATTTATTTGATTCGGCATTAGTTTTACCTTTATTCGAGGTGCCTCCATATAAAATTTTATTTAAATATCTTCACAAATAAAGCAAGTATAAATTGTGCACAACTCTTGTGCAGATAAAGCGCACTTTTTTTAACCGAAAAAGCTTTTGTTTTGACATCAAATACCAATGGATATATTTCTTGCAGACGTCTCAATCGCCCTTTGTGAGTACCCTCTTCCGACAATCCGTTCTTGTGGTATAAGGGAATATACCCGATCACGATAAGAGGTCGAGGAGGAGGGTTATGGTTGGTAGAAATTAATTCCTTTCGTTGAGACCTTTAATTAGAATACAATGAGAGATAAAATTAATTTTTAACCCCCCCCCCCCCCCCTCAAACCCCGTCGCTCACAGATCTCGAAAAAGAGTCGCACGAGAAAGTTATAGTTTGTACAAACCAATTTATTTCGATGAGACCTTTCATTAGAATACCATCAAGGGTAGAACAAACACGTGCCCCCCTCCCCCATGTTCTAAACTTAGCACCACTAAAGGTATGCGTATGCAAAATCTAAAAATGGTTCTCGTATTAAAAGCTATGCACGTTTTACTTTCAAAAACAGCATCTCGGGAAATAATTCGTGAGGAGGGCCCCCCTTTTAGACAGCGAAATTTGATGGCCGTCTGGCACAACTTCAAGGTACAGGCTACCTACTGCAAGAAATTCCAGGACTCTAGGACCATTCCCCTAGATTCTAGGGGTTTTGAACTACTTCTAGGGCCTAGAAGTAGTTCAAAACGGTAGAAGTGGGTTCGGACGGACGGACAAAACGCAAACAATATCACATTTTTTTTAATTCTTAAAAAATGCGCTAAAAAACGGATTGCCCATGTGCAAAACAATTTTTTTGATTCGACATTAGTTTTTCGTTTATTTGAGGAAAATTGGATTGCGCAAATACAAAAGTTATGGTGGACAACGCACAACTGCACACGGACAGACAGACGGACATACAGACGGGCACACAGCAATACAACATTATAAACGATCTCAAAGATCGTTAATAAACGGCAAAAGTGTAAAATTATGGTACATGAAAAACATACATTTTTTACCATAACTTTTTTCTCAAGCCGCACAGAAAAAATTCCTTCCTTGGTGCAAGCCTCAACACCATAACGAACCAAATAGCGAAAAAAGTAGAACAATCGCTCTTAAGATAAAGAACTAGTAGCGACCGGACGGACGGACAGACAGTCGGATGGACAGATGGACGAACAGACGGACGGACAAAGTGGCCACAATAGGGCATGTTTTTTTATAATTTTTGTGGAAATACGCTAAAAATTAAATTGCGCATGATCAAAATAAATATGTGTACCAAGTTTCATAGCGATCGGACATTTCTAAACAAAGTTATCGTTCACACGGACAGATAGATGGACAAACAGAAAAAGAACAGACGGAGAGACCAACAGACAGCAATACAAAATTATAAACGATCTCTAGGATCGTTAATAAACGGCAAACGAGTAAGATGATGGAACATGTAAAATAGTATATTGAAAGGCAAGTGTTACAATGCGACCTATTGTAATACGACTATCTTGTGGCACGAGTGGCGACGCGAAGCGTAGCCACGAGTGTCCGCAAGATAGGAGTATTACAATAAAGCATTGTAACACGCGTTTTTCATACTATTTTTTCTATTTCGGTGCTTTAATTTAATTAAAAAAATCATTATCAGAAACTATAGGGAACATTAGAACTAACATGTTTTATGTTGGGAACACTTTTTATGCCGTTAAGTTTTAGGTTGGCAGCGTAGTAAGACTGACATTTTGAAGTTCAAACATGGAAGTACCCAACGAAGTACCTACTTGTACTAACTAGTAACTGCCAACTTAAGAGATGAGTTACCAAAAAAAAACGACTATAATCACTGTCTTTGTACAACTGTTTTCGGCCGTAAACAGTTGTACAAAATCATCATTGTGACACCGAAATAGAAAAAATGGTTTTTTGTTTTTTTTTTACAATAACTTTTTTAGCATTAAACACAGAAAAAATTCGTTCCTTGATGCAAGCCTCGACACCATAACGAACCAAAGAGCGGAAAAAGTAGAACAATAGCTCTTAAGGTAAAGAACTAGTAGCGTCCAGACGAAGGGTCAGACGGACAGACGGACGGACAAAGTGGCCACAATAGCGCATTTTTGTGGAAATGCGCTAAAAAGGTGACATATGGACTTGGGCCCTACTTCCAAACGATCATCATGGAATTTATAAATAAATTACACCAGTAAATTTGGTAATTTCTATTGCGACCTTACAGTTCTTATAATTTTTGAGTTGCGTTGCCAAGTTGTGGCGGTATTCGTACATGTGATTCTTTTTCAGAGGCATTAACAGGGAGTGCTTCAATTATATCGAGTACTTCTTCGACGATTTCTTTTGGTGGGTCCTCTAAAAGCAGCGCTGAATTGCTATCCTTGATGAAGACTTGCTTCAACAATTTCGATACCGTGTTGGGGCAATACCTAAAACATCAAGTTTAATTGTGAGCCAATTAAAAAGCGAACGCGGAGACCATCGTAAAGCGGTTGCAATTTTGAACCATCCTGGCAGAAAAACGTGACTTTCGTCATTGAGAATGGCATCTACGGTTCTCTGGACGATCTTCTCTTTGCTCACGCCTGAAAGTAGGCGTAGTTTGGCATTTTTGTGCAAGTTGGCGTTTTGGGGGAAGTAGGGGCAAATGGTGGTCATCTTGATTCCGGTGATTCCTACAAATTCCACTTAAGCGCCATTCTAACAAGTAGCAACGCTACCGTTGTGCTCCAATTCGGCGCAGAGCGCGGCCATGAAGTTAGAAATGGCAGAATTTGTAGCGCACAGATCGGTCAACTTTGGAAGGCCGATGTGCGTGGCCATAGAAGAAACGGCAACAAATCTACCCTTATTCGCCGCAATCATGTGAGGCAAGAATGCTTTCGTCATCTGAAAACCGATATAAAACCACCCACCCATTGGCCCTAACCCACATACCCAAATTTGCGACATTATATTTGTACGAAAGATACTTTCGAGCAGATCATCATGGGTGCTCAAAAATGGTTTCTCGGACGACAAGCACACTGTATTGACAACCATAGATACCTGCAACATCAACTGTAAACTTGCGGAAAAAGTGCTCAAACCTCGCCGAATTGGTTCCGTGTAGCCTCGGCCGCGTTATACACGTCACCCCGATTGGAGAGATCGCAGGAATGAATTTCAAGATCGTATCCCGCCGTAGACTTAATGTACCTTTTGGTGTGCACCAAAACTGAAATCGGGGTGGAATTATTTGGCCTTGAGCCGAAACTAACGTGTACCATCTGTATTTTTATCCCACACTATCACTTTGGCTTCAAGTTTCGCCAGTTGTATTGCCAAATCTGCACCTAATCCTCCCTCACAATTGGTAATAACCACACACTCTCCCTTGAGCGACTTTAAATTCTCTTCTGTCGTCGATGGTGGCCCTGCCTCGTCGAATAGAATTTACAAACGTTTTTATGGAGAGAGACTCACAGCTGACTTTTGTTCCAAAGTTGCAACGTGGACCGATGTTTCGAAACTTGAGGATTGGGAAAACTGTGCGTAGCGAGCTATACATATTGCTGAAAATTTTTAGACGTTTGCTGAAGTGTCAATTTCAATTTCCCTACACAGCCAAGTAGATGATTTTGTTTTCAAAATTTAGTATTTGGCAAAACAATATGTTCGAGATATATCGTAACAGAATGAAAATCAATTGCAGAACCTGGTCTTACCAGACGAATGTTTCAGTTAGTGTGCTACATTTAGAAATATAAATCCAAGCAGCATTCGATTACATGTAGATAGGAAGCTTGTACTATAGTGCGTTTCACAGTAAGCTTCTTGTGAGCTTTCAGTACAGGCTCTTAAGGAGAACAGTGATGCCAAACATATACAGGGTGCCCATTATGTATGGAATATAGTACATCTCGTCTCTTGTTCGAATAGGACAATTAAGTTGGAGTTATCTCTAATCAATTGTTTAGGAATTTTAAAATTCGTCTGACCCAAGTAGAAACAACCATTGAAAAGAACACTTTAATGTTGTCCTGTTTTTCACAAGCGATGTGAAAGACAAAAACTGAATTCGATTTGGCAGCACTGGGCTCCATAATGTCTGCGGTCTCGCTAAATGTGAAGAAGAATTTCCCCCAAAAGCCTATATTTGTCCTGATTTAGCGATTTGAAATAGACTGAACATCGTATTGGTTTTACCGCAATTGGACGGTCCACAGATTAAGCTTCTTACGCTGTTTGCAAGTAGCTCTGCTCTAATATAGGAGACAGAACTCTATTAATCTGTTCGATTTACAGAGAAAGTGGCTGCAATAGCGCACCCACCTTCCTTGGAAAATGCGCTAAAAATATAAGCGGATTATGCAAAGAGGGACAGGAACGTTCGAGGTGCTTACATACAAAATTTCATTTTCCCATCAAAAAAATTGGATTGCGCAGATACAAAAGTTGGGGCAAATTTTTTATCCATCGGCGTAGTTTTTTGAGGTTTAAGGAATATTTACTAACACAGAAAACCGGACATTCATATGTACAAACAACAAAAATTATTTAAAAAAGCCTTCTTTTTAGATGTGGGCAGTTTTTGGGCTATAACTTTTTGGTCCGTTAGTTTACTCAGTTGAAAAACAATGGCGCCCTTTCTATATCCTTAAGAATATGTGTACCCATTTTCAAAATTCTACACGCTCTACACAAAGTTATCGTGCATACGGGCGACAAACGGATAGACAGACAGCAATACAAAATTATGAACGGTCTGGAGGATCGTTAATAAGTAATAACATTGTTACAATGGTAATAACAAAGAATCAACGAACTCGTTAACGATAAATAAAGTATGGATACGTGCGCATGCAAGATGCATGTTTAAGAATGTAGTTAATGTAATTACGATGCTAAAGTAAATCGATTACAATTGTAATCAGTAATTAAATACAAATTTTGTAAAGTAGGTACTTAATCAAATTAGGTACTGTAAATACCTACTTTTATGATAAAGTAATTTGTAATCAGTATTCGAATACTTTTTGCAGTAGGTAATCATTCCAGCTCTGCTTGTTAAGTACAGTGCTTGATTATGACGATATGAAATAGGAATACGAATAATACGATATGGGAAGAATATATTTAAACTCGATTACCGATCATGTTTTGTATTTTCCCGCTTCGATAACTGATATCGTTCCGTGACAATAATGAATGTAGTTTCTAAGACGAGCATATTGAGCTACTATCAACTAGGTGGCAGCATATTCCGGTACATCTTTTTACAATCATCAAGAATTGGCGCGAACCGGTTGGCTTACTATTTGTATTATACTATGCCATTAGTAAGTAAGTCAGTAAGTTAAATACCGGAGTAGTATATAGAGCAACCTACGACCTTCTGCTAGGCACCTCCAAAAAAAAGCATTATGCGGGTCATTCTGTAATTGGGCACAAGCCTGTTGAGGGCCCGAACAAGAGAGGGGCAATAAATAAATGGGGTGTAGTGTACTTAACCCCCATGTCCTACGCTAACTTCACACTACAAGAACACGGAAATAAAGTCAACACGGCAACGTTTAAAAATTGTGTTGTGTTGTAAGATTAATTGTTTGTAATGATGTGAATGCGTAACATAAAATTATAACATCACAAAAAGTAGCAGGCAAACTTCAAGAGGTAACATATAGATTAGAAACAAGTTTTGGGAATTATTTATTTATTTATTTTTTTATTGTCCCTGTGTGTACCTATGTGGAAATTATTGTATCGCCATTCATTTATCGCACATAGATTCTAAACTGAAGAGCTTTGATTAGCGTAATCCCACTCCGGCAAGATAGGTAGCCCGCCCCTGGTGTCGGGGTTTCGAGCTTACAGTTGAATGTCGAAGACAATCACGGAATTAGGTGTCGTAGCTCAATTTTGACTACAGTTTTTACCACCCCCGTGACTGCTTCATTCACGGAGAAAATTGTTAGTTACAAACAACAAGTCAGTACATGCATCAAACGAATCGGTAATTTCCACATATTAAAATAAAATGATTAAAACTTATATGAATGTTACTTCAGGGACAAGACCAAGTAATCAACATCAATAAACATAAATTTAGCAAACATTACACCAAAAACGTAAACAATTACAAACAATAGCATAACGGTATCACATATGTGATTATGCATTGCGGTTGAACCAAGTAAATTTCAAAAATAAGATTCAAACACACACAAAATATAAAATGTGGCATACAAAACACAAATACAAGATAAAGAAATGCAAAGATTACTATCTGCATTAAAAACACACAAAATAACAACAAACATTTATGGAGCGACGCGTTCACGACCGCCATTCAAGACAAGATGCCCAAAAGGTAACCCCCGTCTGTGCTTTTTGTATGGCGCAGGCAGCTTTTTTCCACCTAGAAATTGCATGGTTGCCAACTCTCAAAAATGTATGTATCGTCGTAAGTTGTATATACAGAGTGGAACCTCTCAGGGGTAAGTATATATTGTCCTACTCCCCAATCCGGTGGAACTCCATTTTGCCCCTATTGAGCTCTAAAAAAATACTTGAATGCCAAATCTAAAGCTAATTATCGTGCGCACGTGTGCCAATCTCCACGTGTTGCAAAATTCCTCTATTACAGGTTTTTTTGTGACTGTAGGTACACTCTGGAGACGACTTGCGCAACAGTGTTATCAAGTCACAAACCTTTCTTCGCGATAACTTATGGAGCAAGGCGTTTTTCGGCACGAAAATAATTTATCTTAAGTATATATAACCAATCTTATATATGATATGATAACTAATAAGATAAGATTAGAAACACTTTGCTGTAGGTATATATACGTAGCCATGAATTACGTTGGGAAGTGTTAAACATGAAAAGTTTCATTCTATGCACTGTGTTGGTCTTGGCGTTAGTTGAGCTGTCAATGGCTGGTGTCTCAAAATGCTACGTAGGGCCAAAATCCAGTTGTGACTGTAAATGGTTATTTGGTTCGTGTGATGACGGATATTTCAACTGGTATGCTCCTTTTGTATTTCTTCATAATTTATATGGATGATTACTGGTCGTTAGCGAATAATGTGTAGTAGTACCCTTACTCTTTGGTAGTAGGCACTTAATGACTTTATTTTTCGATTTGAGGAACTGGAAGCTTTAATTTCTTCTCTCCACCATGACTAGGAAAAATTGATAATTGCTAAGTAAATTTCAACTGCATCCCCTGTAGTTTTGCAATATTTACAACAGGGGTGTTCTTATTTCATTCCCAAACTTACATTAAAAGCTGATAATTAATATTTATGTTGCATTTCAGCGGCAGAGACGAGTTAAACATTTGCGGATTATGGTACGTAACCTGCTGCAAAATTTCTGATTCCTAGATGGCGCTGCCTCTACATTAATTATTTCTGTTACAATGTCAATAAAATTGTTATAAATTATTAACTTTTTCTGTATTGTTGTTTGTATGCGTTTGCGTATATGAAATATGTAGCATTGAGAATGTAGTACCTATGTAAAATCCTTACGCATTAAATTAAATTAACTAAACGTCTATAATAAATGCACCCTATGAGCTTGGTAGATTATATAGGTATTTAAACAAATCAAAAGGTCTGACTGAAGTATGTAATAAATGCAAATTGCACCATAAACATTCAGGGATCATTTTCCTCAATGCGTATTTCTAAACCTGCGAAGCATGCTTCAGCCATCAGAAAGACCTTAATGACGTTATGATAAAAAAAAAGATAAAGTACTATCGCGCGCATTTCATTGAAAACGCACGAAAACCGAAAAACATACATATTCTCTATATAGAACCCCTTCTCCGTCATACGACTTCAATCTTGTCTTCGCCCAGCCATCCCTTGTGTTTTGCTTTATACGTTTCAACTTTTGGAATGTCAAGTTTGGTTTGATATCAACCGCTTAGCTATATTCCGTCTTGATTGCAGTACACTATCCCGACTATCCGGACTATACGTAACAATTTAAGGAGAACCGAAAATTGTCAGCATCCTGTTGAAACCAACAGTTTCCAACTTTTGTTTTTCTTTTGCGCAACTTTTCCCTAATTTTCGTATATTCAGTGGTTTTCGAGATCCGCATGATAGACAGTCTTATCTTGGACACAGTGTATAAATTCGTGATAAGGCCACATAAATAAATAATAATTAATTCACGGCAAATAAGAGTAACAAGTTTTATATTATCCAATAACCTGCAGTACGTAATTAAGGAAACAATGTCATGATTTTCTCATCAAAATTGTATTCATTTTATTATATTGTATTATATTCATTAATATTATTATATAAGATAAATATGAAAAGAGAACTGCAAATCCATAAGGAAACGGAATAGATTCCAAAGGGAGGAAGACTGCCAAGTAGAGGTTGCACAATGTTGAACTATCTTGGTAAGATTTTTTTCATTTTCTTGATGTTCATTCACCCCCAGCCGGAAGTTAGTGGCGCACCCACGAGTAGGAAGCCGTAACTATTTTGCGCTTCGAGGGCTTTAACGAAGTCGCCTATTTACACGATGATAGATGTAGAATGTCTATTCTATTCTATTCTATCAGGGGAGCCTTTACAGGCAGCACTTAGGCTCATCAAAGGGGGAGCCTTTACAGGCAGCACTTAGGCTCATCAAAGGCCCATTGTGCTAACCCCCTCTCTAAACAACCAAAGCTTAGAGCCCGTTCCCTTCAATGAAGGATAAGACCCTGTTTAGCCTTAGTTTCCTCACCTCCCTCGGTTCCAAGTAACTGTCACCGAGGAGTTTATGTCTGTCCCTGATCAGAGCGTCACAGTAACAGACTACATGCTCGGTAGTTTCCTCTACCTCGCCACAAAACCTGCACGCAGGGTCTTCCACAAGCCCAATATTGTGCAGGTGATAGTTGACCATCCAGTGTCCCGTGAAGACACCGACGATCTTCCTAATCTGACTTCTGTTTAGGTTTAGAAGCTTAGAAGACTCAGATTTGCCAAGAGGCCCTGTTAAAAAGGTCTTGGACTGTCTGAGCCCAGCTGCCTGTTGCCATTGAGCCTGGAATTGACTGGTCGCCCAGTTCTTAATCCTGACCCTGACAACTGAGGGAGCAATTCCAAGGGTGGGCTCAGGCCCGACAAGGACCCCACTACTGCCTTCGCGAGCCAACTCGTCCGCCCTTTCGTTGCCCCCTATTCCAGAGTGCCCCGGCACCCATATCAAGCTTACCCTATTAGACTCACCTAATCTATCTAGGGTTCGCCTACAGTCAAGCATCGTATTCGAGCGGACCCTGTCAGCTGACAGAGCCTTTAACGCCGCCTGACTATCACTACATATGTATATATGCTGGTTACGATAACCTCTACGGAGGTTTTCTTGCGCACAGGTCGTGATGGCTAGCACCTCTGCCTGAAACACAGTACTGTGCTGGCCAAGGGAGAGGCTGATGCCTACTCTCGGCCGGTCACCGTGTATACCCATGCCCGTTCCCTTTTCCGTTAGGGACCCATCGGTAAACCACACGAGCCCCTCAGGTTTGAGGAACGGACGATCTGGGTTCAGCCACTGCTCCCTGTCCGGGAGAATGACTTTATACCTCTTCGGTTCAAGTAGGGTAGCTCGAATCACGTCCCTTCTTGCGAGGAAGGGGGCGGACCTAAGAGTTTCCTCCCAGATCCGCCCGTGTCCGAGACTGCCTCTATCCTTCCACTCACCCCAATCATTTAGTCTTATGGAAGCCCTCCGGGCCTCGGCCTCTACCGATAAGTGTAGAGGTTCAAGTCCCAGAAGAGCCTCCACAGCCAACGTTGGCGTGGTTTTCATGACTCCAGTGATTCCCAAACAAGCGAGTCGCTGTACCTTACTCAGCTGCTTCTTGTATGTTACCCTGCGCGTTGCAGGCCACCATACAAGTGCGCCGTACAATATTATCGGCCTTATCACCGAAGTGTAAAGCCAATATACTAATCGAGGATTTAATCCCCATGTGCAGCCGAAAGCTCTCCTGCATGCCCATAGACATGCAGTGGCCTTCTTGCTAATTCGCTCAATGTGCCCTTTCCAGGACAGACGGGAGTCTATAGTGACCCCCAAATATTTAACTGCCCTGGTCAGACACAATTGGCGTCCTCGAAGGATGAGACCGTTAAGGTCCACATTCCGTCTCCTCGTAAATGGAACAATTTCGGTCTTTTCCGGGTTGACAGAGAGACCGTGGCTACTGCACCATCTATCCACCTGTCCAAGAGTCCTCTGCATGAGCTCTTTTACGGTGCTCGGAAACTTCCCCACAATGACAATTGCGAGGTCGTCTGCGTATCCCTGTGTATACGCTCCATCCTCGTTTAGTGTACGAAGGAGCCCGTCTATCACCAGGCACCACAGTAGTGGAGACAGTACTCCACCCTGCGGACATCCTCTAGTGACCGATGAGCTCATCTCCGTAGTTCCGATTGAGGTTATGATGACCCTGCCTCCAAGCATGGCCCGGATCCATCTTACGATTGACCCGTCAATGCCAAAGCTTTCAGCAGCCTCACTAATGGAATCGAACGTGGTGTTAAACGCACCTTCGATGTCCAAAAAGGCTCCCAGAGCTACCCCTCCAGCAGACATTCCCCTCTCCAGTCTACACACGAGACTGTGAAGAGCCGTCTCCGTGGACATGCCAGCTCTGTAAGCGTGTTGAAACGGGAGTAGTGGTCTAAGGACCAGCGCCCCGTTTCTTATGTATGCATCCACCAGCTTTTCTACCGCTTTTAAAAGAAACGATGATAGACTGATGGGCCTATAATCCTTTGTTGTGTCGTACTTAGTACGACCCGGCTTAGGTAAATACACAACTCTGACCCTTCTCCAGCTTATGGGGATGTACCCCAAAGCCACAGAGGCCCTAAAGAGGTGCAACAAGTGCAGAAGTAATGGTTCCAGGCCCTTTTGCAAAAGAGCCGGAAATATCCCATCAGGTCCTGCGCTCTTAAATGGGCTAAACGTATTGATAGCCCATCTCAGGGATCCCTTGGTAACAACCCCGGCAGCTACTCTCCAGTCGATCGGCCTTGCACCGACCCGGGTAGCACCTTCTGGCGGTTCCGAAGTTACATAGTCTCCAGAGCCTGGAAAGTGTGTTTCCAGGAGACATGTGAGGGCCTCACCCGCGTTAGATGTAAATCTGCCGCATGGAAGCCTCAGCGTCCCCACTTTTTGCCCTGGATCTTTCAAAAGGATCTTACGAAGTTTTTGAACTTCGGGAAGCCCTTCCATGTTGCCACAGAAAGTCCTCCACGATCCCCGTTTAGACCGTCGAATGTGGTCTTTATATCTGCGCTGTGCGAGTTTGTGATCCTCCCAGTCCGCAGGTAACTTAGTACGCATGGCCCTGTTAAAGAGCCTTCGAACCTCTTTACGAACTTTTTCAAGGTCCGAGTTCCACCAAGGTGTTCGCTTCATTCCCCGAACAGTTCGCAGCTTGCAGCTGTCTTCAAACGACGCCGTTATAGCGTCGCTTATCATTGCCGCCGCCTCTTCCACCTGCCCTGCTTTCCGGCAGAGCAAAGGTGGTTTATCCAACCGTTCTGTCAGTTTTTCAACATAGCAGTCCCAGTTGGTGGTTCGGGGATTCCGAAACCTACAGGGCCCACCGTTGAATGACAGGTTTAGTTGGAAAAGAATGTGCCTGTGATCCGAAAGAGACGGTTCATCAGACACTCTCCAGTTTGAGATCATGTGAGCTATAGAGAAAGAGCCCAACGTTAGATCAATGACCTCCTGCCTCCGCGACGTAACGAAGGTGGGGGTTTCTCCCTGATTTAAAACATTCAAATCAGTTGTCTGCAAGTACTCCAGAATGTGTTCGCCCCTCGAGTTCGTGTCCGTGCTGCCCCACACAACGTGATGTGCATTTGCATCACAGCCAACCACAAGAGGGAGCCTTTCACTCCGACAGTGCTCTATCAACTCAGCTAGCTCCCTGGGAGGTGGAGCTTCTTCCGAGTCATATGGTAGATACGCTGAGCAGACTACTAATTGCCTGCTCCGTCCCTTTCCATCTTTCAGCTGAAGTCTTAGAGCCACAAGATCCCTAAAACAGAAATCAGCCATTAAATAAGACTCGATGCGTCTGTCGACATATATTATGCAAGTCCTGGTACTCAGTTGACTGTCCCTCTTATAATAAAGTGAGCCCTCAACCTGACTTAAGCCTCTTACTCGTCCCTTGTAAACCCAAGGTTCTTGTATGAGGCAAACGCCTGTCTGCTTTACAGAAAGATGTAGAATGTCACTTATATAAAATTATTGAATAACAAGATTTGATATAGTAATCGTTGCCTAATTTCTTTCTGACAATGATAAGGGGCATGATAATTCTCGTACACACTTTCATTTATCATAGACAGATATGAAATCCCTATTCAGGTATTATGTAACGGCTGTTACATTAGATTGTTGCAAATTCTTGATCGCACCTATTATTAAATTTTTTCTCAAAATGTACCTACGGCTAGCTCAATATCATTAAATTTAGAACGCAACTTTCTCCAGGAAGAATGGACCTTTTGTTCTTGTACTTGAAATTTTGATATCGCTCTATTATTAGAGACCACTTGATCGCAGACACAAAATCGAATTATCGTAATATTTACGTATATTGAAACAAATCAGTGACCTTCACTCTATCTACCTACCTATTTTATTTTTTTATTTTTATTTTTATTACATGACCTTGGAGAGCAAATTAAACTACGTTACAATATGTGCAAATTAGTTAATCGCATTAACTCATATCGTCTCACCCTTGGGAATGAATGCTGGCCTCTCGTTCTGGAAATGCAAGCGATCCGAGATTAAAGGACTCTGGAAGCGATGTCCCAGGTAAGAAGAGCGAAGTATGTTCCAGACCAAGGATAGCAGCGATGGCAGACCATCCGGAGGTGCGCCTACTGCAAGCAACAGTAACGGAAGAATCCGCAGAACTATTACAACTACCAAGGCAGAGCATACAGGCATAAATTAGCAGCACCAGCCAAAGCTCCTTTTTTATTCGCGGATTAATTCGCGGGGGTCAATCAAGGTCGATTAAATTGATTGGCGGGGTCGCCCACGTGGGCGGGGGTGTTTTGGGGGATTATTTCTGGGAAATTTGATTCATTTCTTGGAATTTTGACTTAATTAATTAAAACTGGTACGATTTTGGTCTTTATTGACATTTGATTTGATTGGTGACGTCATCAATTAAATTGATTACTGTCGGATTAAATTAATTTGCGGTTTGATTGATCTAATTAATTTAATTCGCGTGTTGATTTCCCGGAATTTCTGTTTAATTAATTTAATTCGCGGTTTGATTTCCCGGAATTTCTGTTTAATTAATTTGATTCGCGGTTTAATTAATTTGATTCGCGGCTTAATTAATTTAATTCGCGGTTTGATTTCTCGGAATTTCCTCTAATTATTTAATTCGTGGGTCTATTACTTTGCTGTACTAATAATTACACATATGTGATAATTACACACATGTAATAATTACACACAGGTAATTATACTCTAATTGAAAACAAAATGACGGAAAAACAAAATGGCCGCCAAAGGCGGGAAATTTGAAATTTTTCCTATCTCTCTCTTACTCACTGCGTCTATTTCTCTCTTACTCATTGCGTCCATCTTTTAGCTATTCTGAAATAGAAGTTAGAAAATGAACAAGTTTTAATTATGTTTATTATGGTGCAACACTCAACAATTAACAAAAAAACATTACAATCAAAAATTAAGCGCAAATTACTCACGGAACTAATTGGATACATTACAATGGGTCGAGATGGTGCTGATCGCATAGGAGTGATGATATCCAACGATACCTTTCCAGATAAGCCTTTGGGATTTTCATTCCTATGCGATCAGCACCATCTCGACCCATTGTAATGTATCCAATTAGTTCCGTGAGTAATTTGCGCTTAATTTTTGATTGTAATGTTTTTTTGTTAATTGTTGAGTGTTGCACCATAATAAACATAATTAAAACTTGTTCATTTTCTAACTTCTATTTCAGAATAGCTAAAAGATGGACGCAATGAGTAAGAGAGAAATAGACGCAGTGAGTAAGAGAGAGATAGGAAAAATTTCAAATTTCCCGCCTTTGGCGGCCATTTTGTTTTTCCGCCATTTTGTTTTCAGTTTGAGTATAATTACCTGTGTGTAATTATTACACATGTGTAATTATCACATATGTGTAATTATTTGTACAGCAAATTAATAGACCCACGAATTAAATAATTAGAGGAAATTCCGAGAAATCAAACCGCGAATTAAATTAATTAAGCCGCGAATCAAATTAATTAAACCGAGAATCAAATTAATTAAACAGAAATTCCGGGAAATCAAACCGCGAATTAAATTAATTAAACAGAAATTCCGGGAAATCAACACGCGAATTAAATTAATTAGATCAATCAAACCGCAAATTAATTTAATCCGACAGTAATCAATTTAATTGATGACGTCACCAATCAAATCAAATGTCAATAAAGACCAAAATCGTACCAGTTTTAATTAATTAAGTCAAAATTCCAAGAAATGAATCAAATTTCCCAGAAATAATCCCCCAAAACACCCCCGCCCACGTGGGCGACCCCCCCAATCAATTTAATCGACCTTGATTGACCCCCGCGAATTAATCCGCGAATATAAAAGGAGCGGGGATAGAGGGTCGCTTTCCACGAAAGTAACCATTCAGCTGAGGCCCCGATTTCCGAGCATTTGTGCGCTAACCAAAGGTTATGTTTTTAAAAAGGATTACAGAAATTCTCCACATGAGACCGTTTTGAGTTTCTGATGTACCCAAGTCCACAGCTCCAGCGCTAACAAAAACGAGAACAACTCGGCACCTCCAATTCTTGTCCATTTGTGAATGGTAACATTCCGAAATCCCTATGCATTGTTAATTGGCCGGGCCCTTCCAGCCGAGAAGGTATCTGAAGGTCCTGGATACGGTGTCAAGTGCTCTTTTCGGGTCAAACTTAAAATGGTAAAATCTAAATTTGAAAATATTTGCTCGCTCTTAACAGATAGGTAGGTATGCAAGAAAATTTAAAAAATGTTAATTTGAGAATGGCCCATATTTTCTTAGTTAAAAATAAGTATATGGGGTCAGGTAAAAAAGGTATCGGACCTGACCTCATTTTTTAAATGGAACACTGTATATTTTAATTGATTTTTACCACCATCTCTCATTGACATTCATATAAGAGAATTCTTTGTAATAGTTACTTATAAAGTCGAACTTTCTACAAGGAGACTTTTTCCGTAAATAAACATTATTAATATGTATTAATTATATTATATTTTCTCTTTAAAATATACCACTAATTTTAAGAAACCAATATTGATTCAAAAAGATTAACAAAAAATTAAAAAAATTCAACAACCTTTTTTGAATCATTTCAACCTTTTTATTTTTTAAACCTTTCTTAATTTTGAAATTTACACCTGGTGTGTTATATTTTTGAAAAGAAAATTAAATATGTCATCGTTTTTGTTTAAAACACACAGGGTGTTCCATTAAAAAAAAAAGAGGTTAAATCCGATAATTTTTTACCTGACCCCGTATACTTATTACGAAAACGGCAGATTATTCAACAATCATTATTAAGAAACTTTTGTAATAAACATTTTTCTGTTCCTCTGTTAACTACAAAAATATAGGATAATTTAGCAATTAACATTTTTTTATTTTTGCTCGTATCTCGGGTTAAAATGTTCGAAAATATCCCTTTTTTAATTTTTTAGCGCATTTTTTAAGAACTAAAAAAAATGTGCTATTATTTGCGTTTTGTCCGTCCGTCCGTCCGGACCCACTTCTGCCGTTTCGAACTACTTCTAGGGGAATGGTTCTAGAGTCCTGGAATTTTTAGCAGTAGCTTGAAGGTGTGTCAGACGACCATCAAATTTCGCTGTCTAAAAGGTGGGCACTCCCACGAATTATTTCCTGAGATGCTGTTTTTGAAAGTAAAACGTGCATAACTTTTACATACGACAACCAATTAGTGTCAGATTTTGCACACGCATGCCTTTAGTAGTGGTTCCAATTTAAACTTTAGAAAATGGGGGGGGTTAACATATGTTCTACCCTTCATGGTATATAATGAAAGGTCTCATCGAAATAAATTGGTTTGTACAAACTATAACTTTCCTGTGCGACTCTTTCGAGATCAATGAGCGACGGGGCCTGAGGAGGGGGAGGTGCCTCTCATTGTATTGCAATTAAAGGTCTCAACGAAAGGAACCGTTTTCTGCCAACTACTGCCCTTCTTTCTGTGCTCTAATCAAAGTACGGGGAGGGGAGAGAGAGGGGGGGTGGAACTAGTTGTATATAAACTCAAGACTGATAGGAATTAAACCAGTATTTAGCGAATGCTTTTACTCATTTGGGGGTTTCAACTTTCAATCTACAATTTTTAGTAAAAGTGACGGTTTACCGCCTTACATTCTACCCCAAATTCACACATTATCATACCGAGATTGATCATTATTGTCCATATCATTTACCTCTAATCAAATTTATAACACAAACAAATTGATCGTACAGGTATTTTGATGTGTTTTTGTTCTGAATTGATTTATCAGGTTTTCCACTACATTTATGATGTCTTGTGTATTTTGTTTTTATGAACTTTGATTATCTGATTTATATCATACAATTTGAGATGTTTTATTTATGTGTATTTTCTCTTGCATTTTATTGCTGTAGGTGATTTATTTTATGTATTTGTGTGGCCTATGCCAGGGTTTTTGTCCCGTAGAAGGTTTCCCTGGCATGGTCTTGTGCTGAAAAGTGAACGAACGCAAACGAGATACTCTTACTAACGCGAGATCTCCACCAAAATCACTTTATGATCCTCACTTTGAGGTGGAACTGGAAAAGAAAAACGCAAAAGGAATTCTAACGAAATGTATTAAATTACTGATACACATATTTTAAATACGCCGACTCGAACTGCTTGGTGTTTTTATTATTGCTCTCCACCTCGACTGTTTCGGCGACCTCCTCGTTCGTCTGCAACACTCCATCCTGATCGATCACAGCCTCCATCACTATCGTACTGTCTTGCTCCTCCATGTACTCGAAGAACTCCTCCTGCGACTCTTCCTCGAGCAGAGTCTCCGTAACGACGCCGTTGACGATCGAAAAATGTGAGGCGTTTATTAAAATATCGTCGGTGTCACCGTCGTAACGATAAAATCCCCAGATCCACAGCTGATTCTCCATGCACTTGATGTAGCCGAGCACCTTCGAGAAGAAATTGCTTATTTCGATCTTCGGATGGTCCTCGATAAACTGCCACGCCCTCAGGACGTTCTTCTTTTGGAAGCTGCTCAGATCGCGACCGAACGATTTCTTGTCGGCTCGCGAGTACGTGCTATTCAAAAACGCCTCCAACTCGATGATCTTCTCGATTATGTGCGTGACCGTTATGCTCGTCTTGTGCATTTTTCCCTTGGTCAGCAGGAGGAAATCCCTTAATTTTTTGAAAGGCGCGATCACGTTCTCGTTAATGCGATTTTCGAGCTTGTGCACGCAGAACAATTCAGGCGTTACGTTGAGGATCCACTGGGTGCGAACGTGATCGAATATCGGTCGCGTCAGTTCGGTGATATTAAGATTCTTCGCTTCCAGTTCGATGCTATTTAAACCGTCGAGTATCGTGTTGACAGGAAGTAAGGGCAGCATGAGGAGCATGTGGTAAATGTTGCGGAAGTACGAGTTCGTTTCCAGATCGCGCGAGAGATTTAACGAACAGATTTTCTTGTAGATGTTCTGGGTGTAGTAGAAGACGGATCCGCCGATAGTGGAATCGACGTACGTTTCTGTTAGAGCGTAATATAGGTTTGCTTCATAGTCCGTGACGATTTCTTGCGGGCGTAGTTCTGGTGCGAGTCGATCACGCAAATAGGTGAAGATTTGTCGAAATATCAACTGGGATTTCTTATTGATGATGCCGAAGAGAATTGGATAGTACTGTAATTACCGGTTAGATCTTGCTGACTTATAACTTAGTACTTACGCTTTCCTCTACCCAAACCAGTACCGTTAGAAGTTGATACTTAAAATCTTCGGTCGTGTCAATTTTGAAGGAAGCATCGACGTACATGACGGTGCTCTTCGAGACCATCCGAATCGTCTCGACGTTCGCAAATAGAATTGCCATACTCGAGTCTTCGCGAACGGTAATTTTGTCCTGATAAAACTGCTGGCCGGAGTGCGTGAAATGCAACTTGTCAAACATCTCCATTTCGATCGTCTTGTAAAATTCTTCGAACGAGGCCACCGGCTTCATCTTAAGCATCAGTTGATGCCGACAGATCTCGTTTATGACGTTGCGCAACGGAACCACCTGCCTAATTTCGGGATCCCTAAAATTAAAACTTTACTTCGGGCGCGAACCCACCGCAGATTGCGTACTGAATGCAGGCGTCTTCGTATATAATGCGAATATTGAGCGTCCTATCCGTTTGCATCTTTTTCCTCATTACGCAAAAGAACATCTGCTTCTTCCTTATTAATTCGTCGGGCGCGGGGTGGTTATGGGCCGATAACACCTCGAGCTCGGCGGCAGGATCGCCGTTTTCCAGCCTCTTCTGTTTGGCTTGAGCCGAACATGTGGGAAGGCCGCATCGCAATTGTCTGGAAGACGAAATGCTAAATGTTTTTGAGGAGTTACTTTTAGTGAAAAACGTTCTCCGAATTTTGTATTTTTATCACTTACGTTTTACGCGAATTATCAGTGAAAGAAATTGAATTCCGTATATTTTTATACGTCTTAGTGAAACTGTTATTTAATTATTTAGATTTTGCTTATTTAGGATTACTTGTATATTTTTGCCCAGTGAGGATATAATTGTGAGTTAATGTTTTTCAAATTTACTGAATAAACATTTCTAATTATTAAATTCAGTGAAAGAAAAATTAATTGAACTCTTTCCTATTTTAACGCTTAATCTGAACTAGCCTGGAAGTAAAAGTACAGAAGGTAGGTCCAAATGTACTACAACAAGGAAAAAAAGAAGAAATTTGAAAAAAGAATTTAATAAATAGAACCACGAACCTAAAGTATTTATCAATAATTGTTACTTTCGGTACAACGGAATTAAATAATTTGAAATCAAATTGTACAGCACAGAAATTCAATGAAGTTCTAAAATCCCCCTACTAACTAAAGTCCGCTGCTCACATTATAATTGTACCAATTTTCTCAGACGTTCAATTAATGCTAAATACATCTCAAGAATAAAGAAAAATAATATTGTCTTCTCCCGTTGCACTAAGGTAAATATAAAAGATAAAATAAAAAATAAATCGAAAAAGACAATCTTGAGGCGCAATTCAAAATATTGTTTACTCCTCAATTGTACCCATGCGCTATGTTCTTCTTTACTGGAAGCATATATGGTTAAAATGTCTCCGTGAATAAAAACGCACATCTGATTTTACAATATGCGATATGCTGACCTTTACTAGAAGCATATACAAATATCACTACAAATAAGAAAGATAGCGCATGCGCAAACCTGGTGTTTACAATATGCGATGTTTCCCTTTACCTACTGGAAGCATCTTTGGTTAAAATTTCACAGAAATATCACCATAATAATAAAAAAGTTGGCAATTGCACAGTCTGCGCCATCTGATTTTTACTATATGCGTTATGTTTGCTTTTACTACAGGCTGGAGCACGAAATGAAACAAAAAAATAATGAACACTAGGAAACTGGAATTTGATTTTTATCATAGTGGAGAATAATGAAAAATGTCTACCTTAACAATCCACACACTACTGCAGTACTCTTTCAAGCATGTCTTCAGGTATTCTTCCAATTTCAACCTCAATATTGTTCCGTAGGTCTTTCAGGAAGCCCCAAAGAAAACATCTAAAAAGGTTTTCATTCTAAGGCGAGTAACTTCAGCGCATTTTCCATGCATTGATCAGTACTTCCCAAAAGACCATAGCTATGTGCGCTATGTTTTTCTTTACTAGAGGAATCTATGGTTAAGTTTTCAAATAAATCTCCATAAATAAGAAAGTTGACATTGCGCAATCTGCGCCGCATGCGCATATTAATCGTCAAGATTTTTCTTGGTTGAAGTGCCATAGGTATAAACTACCAAATGCAAGAAGAACGAACTAAATATCTTGAAAACTGTAGGAATGGATAAGGCCTCCGACGGACGGACGCATAGAGAAAGCGGGTTTCATGCTTTTATGCAATACCTACGTAAATATTGTATGCAGCTCAAAATAAAACAATTATTTACACGAACTAACAAAAATGAATCACATTGGCGCAAAGAAAATAGCCCATATTTTGCATTTTTTGGGTTTTTGTGCATATTTAAGATAGATTAGCATTTTATTCACTTTTTAAACCATTTCTATTACAAAACAAGTTTCCAGTGGTACTAATTGCAACAATTAGATTTTTATTTATAAATTATAAAGATAAACAAATAATAATTGAAATTATATAAAAATTGTAAAATAGAAATAGAACAAAAGAAAACAATAAAAATAGAAAAAAATGAAAAGAAAAGAATAAAAAAATAAATGAAATACAAAAAAAAATATGGTGCCCAAGTTTGTCAAATTATAAAACGTCGACGGTATTCAGTTCAGCATTGATTTATAATGCAAGCACATTTTCAAGTTCAGCAAATGAGATGACGAATGTTGGCTGGGGAAAATGTTTCATTTCCGAGAAAATTTCAATGATTTTTTGTGCATTATTGAATTTTTCATCATATCTTCATGCTTTTTGCCATATTTGTTGCGCAGTGCATATTTGACGTGTTTTCATACATATAAGTTCTTGAGTTTTTCAAACCACCAATTCCCTTCGAATAGTTGCGTACATATAATTCTTGTTTTCTTAAATTTAGGAATTTGTCTGGACCGTCGATTTTTTAAATTTTTCTGAATTTCAATTCTCTTCTTCAAATTTTCGCTTTTCTGAAATCTTTTAATTGTTCCGAATTTTTTTGAATTTCGATTCCCTTCAAATTTTTACGTTTGTTTGACTTTCTGAATTTTTAGAATTTTTCTCTTGAATAAATTTTTCCGGTTGAATCTTTGAATTTCTCTAAATTTAATGAAGCCTCTTCTTCGAATTTTTGGTTTTCTTCAATTTTTTGAATTTTCCAATACTGAAAGTTAGAAATTTTTTATTTTTTTCAATATCCCGAATTTTTAAGATCGTTTCCCATTCGAAGGTTTACGTTTTTTTTTTAATTTGAAACGGAGATATGCATGTTGTGGTATTAGCTCAAAATGGGATACAATGGGAATTGAACACCATGAAGAACAGTTTCAAAGCATGGGGAAGGTTTTGAGTTTTTATTAAATGTCCTTTCTTTTATTTTGTTTCAATATGTTATATGTAGTTTTCAAACTTTTCTACTTCAGATAAGTGATGAGAAATTGAGACACGCCGTCAAATATTTCACGACTGGGGACCTAGGAGCGGAGCGTCGCCTGTAGCATAGCAGCGGCCATACACTTCTAATTAACACACGTTGAAGTCTTTCTTCTGTTATTTTTTACAGCACGCTTTGCGATTTTTCGTGTCCTGGCCTGCTCAGTTGTGCAGTACTCCTCGTCAGAGAATATTTTAACATGGATCCAACTGTTGTGTGGAAGTATCTCACGAAAAAACATTTGAAAAACGGCAAAATTATGCAGAGCGCACCATATGCAAGTTTTGTAACTGAATCAAAAGATCAAACAAATGCTGCAAAACATAACACCAGTCAGGCACACTGGAATAGAATACGGTAGGTAATTCTGTAACGTAAATTTAATATCGTGATTTATTTATTTACAACTAATTAGCAATGAATTTACAACAGTCTTGAAATTGATTAATTTATAACAGTAATTATTATTTATCACTCACAATTTATAACATAACACGAGTGGGAGACTAATTCTTCACTTCGCAACGGTATTGGAACTGACTGAAGCACATATTTCTCGAAAGTTCTCAAACACTCCTGAATCTTCTAGAATGTTTTCGAATAAACACGTCCTATTTTCCACATCCGCTTTCGTTTCTTATCGCCGATGACTAATTTTTATTGCGCCTCAATGTCTATCATGATTTCTAGAATATTCGCTACAATACGAATGCGTGGCCATAAGACCTCAATGAGCACACGTGCGTGAGCACGACACGGCTCTATCGAGCCAGTAAACGCATGCACAAACGAAACGTGTACATAAACATAACCGCTAATTATAAGGGGCTTTTCTGGACGCTTACGCGCAAATGAAGCAAGTTTTCGTGTAGAGACCATATTCTTGGTGGTCAAAACTGTGTTTTACTTTTTTATTAGGCGGAAGAAAGGAGACTGATAATATTCTATCAAGAGCAATGCAGAGCGCAGAGCGTTAGGGCAAATTTTCGTGTGGCGGCCATATTCTCGGTGGTCAAAACTGTGTTTACTATTTGTTTATTCCATCAGCTGTTCGCTTATCTTGGCCAGTGGCGTACCTCCATTGTACTTCTATAACAGTATAATGAACGGAAAAGATGCATACATTACGACGTATTCGCGATGGAGATTAGTCCTCTGGTGGCAACACATTGTAATTACTATTGGTGGAATAAGACCGCCATGTTGTTTATTTACAATGGCCAAAAGTAACCAATTTTTTAGTTTTTACAACTGTAAAACTAAATACACTTGCAAAAATTCCATTGGCAATCAATGTAATTAGACGTTAAAGAGCAAGGATAGTTTCTCAAGGTCATCTGAGGTCAATGGCATCTCTAATTGCATTCTCAAAGTCAGCCAAAGTCGATGGCCACATTTTTATGTGGGGTGTAATTTCATTCTCAAGGTCGTCCGAGGACAATGAACCCTTTGTGGTATCAAATTATGTTTTGAAGGTCATAGAAGTTCAATGACCTCATCTTGTGTGATGGCCAATTACATTCTTGAGGTCATCCAAGGTCATTGTCCCCATTTGTGTGGTGTCAAATTACATGTTCGAGATCATCCAAGATCAATTACCTCATTTTTATGTGGTGTCTGATTACACTCTCAAGGGCATACAACTACAGTCAAATAGAATTACTATGCGAGTACGTTAGGATTGCAAAAAAAGTCTATTATAAGTAACCGCCCTCGGACGACCTTGAAAATTATTGGGATCAATGACCTCGGACGACCTTGAAATGTATGGTGTCAATGGCCTCGGATGACCTTGAAAATTAATTTGGGGGTCAATGGCCTCGGATGACCTTGGAAATTAATGGGGCCAATGACCTCGGATGACATTTAGAATGAGGTCACCGCCCACGCGGCACGCGACTTTCACCTTGACCTAATTTCCAAGGTCACCGACACGGGTCACTCAACTTTCACCTTTGCCTATTTCCCAGTCACGCCCTGACCTTGACCTACTTTTTAAGGTCAACACCAGGTGGCGAGCGACCTTGAACTCGTCCAGGATCCGCATTGTATATCTACTACTGTTGAAGGAACTTCATTTGTGGCTGGCGTTCAATTATTTTTTTGCCATGAAACGTAATAGTAGCCCTGTCTGCCAGTTTTACTGTTTTTGACTAATGATTTTTGTTTTGATAATTCCAGTTTTACGTTATTAAAAAAGTATTTATTGCGCCTACTCTTTACTAAGCGGTTATGAACCAAATTCGATAGGTACGTGCACTTGCAATTAGGTAGGAATGCCACAAATAATAATAAAAGTTTAAATCGAAGAATACCTACTGTTTAAATTGTGGTCAGTGTAATTGTCAACGAATAGAAAGGTCGTTTTTAAGTTTAATCGACGTAAGGGAATGTTGGTGAGTTGTAAAGTTGTATGAGTGCACTAGAAATTGAATGATAAATTATGATCCTTTATTTGTAATTAGAAAATTAAGTTAATTACGTGTTCAAGCTAATTCAAGACAGTCTAGAGTTCTTAAGAAAAAGGTCTTTTAGATGGGATAAAATTTTCAAGGCTCAATTCACTTTCAAATTAGTACAATTTCACTTAAAAATCTGCAAGAATAACCCAATATTACCCAATAGGTACCACCTATACACCCCATTTGTAAATTACACCAGCGCCTCTAGTGTTAATGTGAATCGCGAATCATTTCACTTGTTGTGTTGTGGAGAAGAGTATATTGTTTACAATTTCAACTAAATACGTTTGTATTTACGATATGTACCTATTGGGACGCCAATGAACGGTAGGCGGCCATGTTACTGGTGGGCAAACAAATTAAATTTGCTTCACTAATCACTTTCTTCAAGTATGTGTATCCCGAGATGTATCCAGTGCATCTTTGCCTAAGCACTATCCTTCTCCCACCCAAGGTCTTTAAATTTACCTGTTACACCCTGTACAAAAATTCTACATTAAATTCTAGAATAAATTAAGAAATTGCTAATAGCTAAAGGCTTTTTTTTAATGTATTCTCCACATGTAGAAAAACCATGTATTTTAAAAATGGTTTGAAAATTTGACATCTCTCTGAAATATGCCTGCACTCAAAACTATTACCTATAACAAAGCTACTTATTATGTACTTTCTAAATTGAAAGAAACAATTTCAAAATTCGGAGACAAAAACAATCTTAGGGGCAGGCTAGATCTATACTTACCTCATATCACCTTTGGTTAAGCCAATTTCAAAAATATACTCATCGGCTTGAATAAACACACTCTCATAAACGCCATACCGTGTAACGGCCGGGTACACACCAGGCTTTGTGTATGTCTGCAAAGGCTTTATCTTGACACCCGGGGGCAACTTTAACCCGCCTAGGGACAGCGACCTTTTGTACTTTACAGGAAAATTCGATTTCATCACAATCTTTTTAGAGGGCTGCACAACGGGCTTCTCCTTGCCATTTTGCTGCAGACTCTCGGCAGTACCTTCCTCGAGAGTCGTCAGGATATCTTCTACAGACACACCGTCACTATCACTGACAGGTTTCGCCGTGTCGTCCCCGTCGACTGACTTCGCCTCCCCAGCAGATCGAACCTTTTCATCCCCATTGCCGTGAATCTCCTCCATATTTCTCTCGATATCGTCAATACTCAACTCGGTTTTGGGGACGACAGTCTCGTCATCGGCATGGGTCGAATCTTCGTATATAACCTCAAATTCGGAAAGCGAGTTTATACTGACCCCCTCCTCATTAGTCTTTGGCCTCTTGGTGGAGTGATCCGTGTCCGAATCTGACGTTCTCTTGCGTTCCTGGCCCAAACAGCACGCTCTCATAATCGATTCGGAAGTCAGACACTTTTTTCTAAATTTGTACACAATTTTTAATGTCGTCAAACACGCCCTGCAGATATACTTGGGAAGTTCGTCATCCTCGTTGATCTACAACGGAAACATGCCTCACACATTTCGACTGGGTAATTACTTACATTTAAACCGCTGATACAGAGATTAAATGCGGCAAAGATAGTTAGATCGTCCTCCAAGTCATCGGAGAGGTGTGTAAATAGATTTTTATCCGACATGCAGGCACGGCACATGACATTTTCGTCGGTTTCACTTTCGCTGGCCAACGAATTGCTATCGTCGTCGCTTAGGGCGGCATTGTTGTGCGAGATTGAGGGTATTGCCCCCCGTTTTAGTCTCTGAATGGGGCGACGACCTAAAACAGTCCACTGAGTGTCTCTTTAGGCGCGACATTTTACCTACTTTTACTGTAATCATCATCTCTCAAGTCGGCGGGTGCAAAATGCGACAAACAAACGAAGCTGCTCTGTTTGATTGTGGAATTGTTAAGTTCCAACCCTTCCAACCACTTCTCCCTCACTTCTAAATCCTTTGGAAACGGAACGCCGGCCGTGTTTTTACATTTCGGTACGATGCACCTCGTAGGGTTCATTGCGAATTTTTAATACAAATAGGTGTTAGTTGCACATATATCGAATTAGTTACACTAAACATGTGTTGGTTTAATGATTATTATATCCCGTGGCAACGTTCCCGAATTGCCCTTTTATGGCAACGATTTCAGTTTGGCAGAAAACGAATGCTATTTTTGTCAATAATAAACACACTAACATTAAGAAAAAACGATATCTATAGTTTGTCGTACACAAAAGCGAATACTAGTGGAGTAGGTCAAATGTACACTATGCGCTGACAATTTCCCGCCTATTTTCAAATGCTAATTGATATCAAATGACTACAGTCTTAAGTAAATATTGAATTTTGCTGAAATGGATTAGGTTTTTAATTTAACTGCAAATCGAATTCAAAGTGACTGGCAGTTTTCGTTTTACTTCCCAAACCACACTCTTTGTTTTATATACAGGGTGTTCCTAAATATGATGTACATGGAGAGGTCAATTCATTGGTTTGTTAACTAAAAATGTAAGAATTAGTAATTACCAACTAATGCGTACACTTAACGTAGAAGTTTGCACATACCATCGACATTATATCGTTCACAAGGAATCAATTAGAAATTACACTTAATTCCAAAGTTCTGCGCTAATTTGTACACTAATTGCAATTGATGTCATGCGCACAGCGTTTGTATTTTAGAAGATTTGTTCAAATTATACATATAATATGAAAATTGATAAACTCATTTCGTCTCCACATAGTGGGTATGATTATTTCCAGAGACAAGGTGCACTAAACGTAAACAAAGGTCGTTTATTTATGTCAAAAACGCGGCTGTTACCGAGTTACGCTAAAGGACATATTGCTCATATCTATGGTAGTGAGAATCTATAGAGTGATGTTTTTTCAGCGGTCATGTTGTATAACGCTATTTTCTTACCGATTAATATTCCATTGTAGTGTACTTAACCCCCAGGTTCTACGCTAACTTCACACTACAAAAACACGGAAATAAAATAAACCCGGCAACGTTTAAAAATGGCCACCCGAATGACTATTCCCTCTAAAACTAAACAAGATCCCGCTTAAATTTGAAAAGTGGCACGTGATCAAACATCTAAGGCAGGGCCCCCTTACGTTAGTTGTAGACAACGCTTTGACCTGAAGCACAGTAGGGAAGGAACGTTAAATAAAACACTGAAATTGTGAAAAGTTTGTTTAATAATGATTGTAATTATTATGATTGTGAAAACCCGGAAATTTAGTTGATGTACATTAATATAAACAAAACAAACAAAGCCAAAAGTGTCGTACTCTCGCAAAAGTCACTGCGAAGGGTAAAAAGAGTACGGCGTAAGAAAAACCTTGCAGTTTGATTAAAACAGTCCAAAAGTTAATTAACAAAATATTTTGTAAAAGTTTAAGCAGTAGTTAACAAAGATAGTAAATGCATATACACAATCTTGGTTACACTCAAGGTTAAAGCAAGTTTTTGGGGACAATGGGTCAGGTAGGAGCAGGTACCAAGATTCTGAGAAAGGGTTAAAAGTACAGGATGTGACTCATCTTTGGTACAATAAAGTCCTTTTGTTGAAAGCAAGATGGAAAACTACATGGCCTTGTAGGCAAATTTGACTAAAAACAAAATATGTGGAAATTATTGAATCGCCACTCATTTAACGCACATAGATTCTAAACTGAAGAGCTTTGATTAGCGTAATCTCGCTCCTGCAAGATGGGTAGTCCGCCCCTGGTTTCGGGGTTTCGAACCTACAGTTGGATGTCGAAGACAGTGCACGGAATTAGGTGCCCTAACACATAATTATAGACTACAGTTTCTTTTTCCACCTCCCGTGACTGCTTCATTCACGGAGAAAATTGTTAGTAACAAACAACAAGTCAGTACATACATTAAACGAATCGGTAATTTCCACATATTAAAATAAAATGATCAAAACTTATATGACTGTAACTTCAGGGACAAGACCAAGTAATCAACATCAATAAACATAAATTAAGCAAACATTACACCAAAAACGTAAACAATTACAAACAATAGCATAACGGTATCACACATATGATTGCATTGCGGTTAAACCAAGTAAATTTCAAAAACAAATATTCAAACACACAACAAATATAAAATGCGGCAAACAAAACACAAATACGATATAAAGTAATGCAAAAATTACTACCTGCATTAAATAACACCAAAATAACAACAAACATTTATGGAGCGACGCGTTCACTACCGCCATTCTAGACAAGATGCCAAACGTAACTCCCGTTCGTGCTTTCTAGGTGGCGCAAGCAGCTTTTTTCCACCTAGAAATTGTATGGTTGCCAACTCTCCAAAATGTATGTATCGTCGTAAGCTGTATATACAGGGTGGAACCTTTCGCCATATATATTTATATATATTTAACATTCTTATGCCATCGTCGCCATCTAGGTATTTCCTTTGTAATCAACTAGTTTAAACGTCAATTCTTCTTGTGGTAGAGTTCTTTTACTTAGTTCTTTATTTTTGCCACTAGAGGCTATCCAAGTGTTATAGATATCTTATTAAAATAGTTCTTTGTTTTGCCGCCCGAGGTCGTGCAGAGCTGTTATTGGTGCATAGTAAAGTTTATGCTCGCGTTTATGCTTTTATACCCGGTTGTACGAGCAATCCGTGTTCGAATCAAAATTTTGCTTTTGGTTAGTTAACGAAGTTGAATTATTGATTTTTATTGAGTATTAAATACGATTTACCTGATCAATGTCAAAAGTTAAAATTGTTTTCGCTATATCTTATGTGCCGCGCTATTCACTACCTCTCTTGTTTGTTTGTTTGTTTGTTTGTGTCGTTTTCTATTACAGATTGGCAGAACGCGCCCTATTGAGCCCACAAGGTTCAAAGGTACACTATTTCCGACGCCCCTTGATATAACTATTGATTACGTACTGGGTTTTCGATACAATCGAATTGTAATTACTATTTGTTTGAGATCCATTAAACGATTATAGCATTTATATAAATTTATAATATATAAACTAAAACTTAGGTCAACCGTTGTTGTCTATGGGTCAACTCCGCTTATTTATTCATTTACGAACTCATTCTCCTGACCTGACCTGACTGAGGAAGGGAGAAAGCAGAGGGGAGTTGTTTTGTATACTTCAAATAGTACCAATTTATGCGTAGTAGTATGTACCCCGGGATTCTGATCTAAATTTGAAATGTGTGTTACGTCCCTATAAATTTCCTTTTTTTTTTCTTGCAATATTTTAATGTTTTACTTTGACCACACCGCGCGCAATCGCAAACACACACGTTTGGGGACAACGTTACCTTGACGAAATTTGACAACGTCCGAATTTGATTGCGCCGTCGCTCTCTCCAACTGGTTCTCGCTTCAACAAGACACCTTTGCATTTTTCACCTCCTGGCTGACCAGAGAAGAAAGGAAAAGTATCGCTTGTTTTTCCGTTCGCGAGGGTAGCAAGAGTATCCCCACAATCCCAACTTAGTCTGTTTCCAAGATTGCGAGGGTGGCAAGATTATCCCTCAATCAAAGAGTAACTAATAATTATTAAGTATTCTTTGCCTCAATCCCCATTTTCAACTTTTGCGACTATGCGCAAGACTCATATCGCTTACGTATACGTACGTAAAAATTACGTTCATTATAAACACCTTCGTATGTTTCTATACAGTTCAACTTTGCGAAATTTTAGGTTTTATGTATTTCTTGTATACGTTCATTGTAAACAAGAGGCGCTTTCTTTCGGTGATCCAAACGCGTTTGGATTGTCAAATCACGTTCTTTCGAAGTGTGATCTTATAATATGATTGCTAAAATCGTGAACAAACTGAACATAAAAGTTTTATGATCACGAACTCCTAACCTAAACCTATAAATGCAAGGATATTTTTGCTAAAATATTAGTTTAGTCAATTTTCGTAACTGAAGAGGAGCATAATCGTGCAAGTACTTCCACTTGTATTTAAATTATTTTCATAATCCAAACAAAAAATACCTAATTCGAATGCAAATGTCTACTCCGTAAACTTAACCATACTTTAATTTAAATTCGCGCGTTCTTTCGTAAAACGTGATTCTACTAATCACGATCTCGAAATCATGATTGCGAAGTAGTCGAAAGAAAGCGCCTTATCACTTGATAGCAAACCGAATATTTATCTAAAATCTGATAGTGTACAACTGAATGCGCCCAATAATTTAAAATTGCCGCCTCCGTTGTATTGATAGTGTGGTACGCAAATCGTCCGATAGGGTACGAATACCGACCGATACATGCTATTTTAATTGTGAAATCGAGAAATAAAGGTATCAAAATTGTAGAATTTTGGGGTCATTTTAAAAAAGTGTAAAAATGTCTACAATTGCAAGAAATTTCCGCTCAATCGCTGTTAGGTCGCTTCGTATAAGGTCGTACTCCAGGCCTGCCATTGTAGGACTCCAGCGCCTGCAAAGTCAAAACGTTGATAGACCTCAAACAGATCTAATATCAAAACAGGTAAGTGTCTAATTAACTAGTGGAAAATGAGCATTTTTTGCCTCTTAAGCTGTTATGTAACACCTAACCTCTTTGTCTCAGTATCAGGCACGATTCTATTCACCGCAAATAATTAAATCGAAACCGTCAGTTAAAGAGATTGAAGAGCGTGTAATCAAAGTGTGCTGTGCATACGATAAGGTCACTGCTGATAAGGTATTTACATTTTTTCTTCTTTGCGTTACAGAGGCTGTCTGTGCCACTAGTGAGGAGTTACAGCGCGAAACCGCCCCTAACTTTAGACTTTATATCAGAACGTGTTTTATTGGTACTTCGTCTTTACGACAAAGTCGATCCTTGTAAGGTATGAATTCTCTAACTAGTGGTACCATGGCAGTCTCTTTTTATACTACACTCTCACTAATCGGTATTGTATTTCAGCTCAGTTTGGAGTCGCACTTTATGAACGACCTCGGTTTGGACTCCTTAGATCATGTTGAAGTTATAATGGCGATTGAGGACGAGTTCGGCTTTGAAATACCCGATATGGATGCAGAAAAATTGCACCGACCTAAGGATATTGTTAGATACGTCGCGGATCGAGAAGATGTTTATGAGTAGAGAGTTAAGGCTTTTTTAAATCTGTCAGAATTATTTAATTATTAAATAACATGTACTGTTCATGTTTTGTAAATTTAGTAGTGTCCGAATGTGACTAAATTTGTTCCTTTATGTGTCGATTTTATGAAATTGCTGTCTAAGGAAAGAGTAACCCTACAGTTTAGACTACGGTACTTTGGAGATGCCAAATTAATTGGAATTGGGGGGGCAATTTTCCTATTGAAGACACCACTACTCGTTTGGCTTCACTAAAAATATGTTTGTTTTGTTTCCCTTCCAGTTAGGAGTATATTGTAGTTGATGACTTTAGACATAGAGGAAATACAATTTTCTCTGGTTTAGGACTTTAGGTCATAGCGTTGTTTACAACTAACGTAAGGGGGTTCTACGTTACATGTTTGATCATGTGCCACTTTTCGATTTCAAATTTAAGCGGGATCTGTTTAGTTTTGGAGGGAGTAGTCATTCGGGTGGTCATTGGGCTTATAGTTAAGAGCAGTCCCAGCATTAAGTGTCGTAACTCATATGGTTACAGTTTTTACCATCCCCGTGACCGTCGCTTCACAGAGTGTTAATTTACAAACAAAGTCAGTACACAAACACACACCTGATTCTGCATTGAGGTTAAACCATGTAAATCTCAAAAAGAAAGATGGCAAATTATTACAGAATATAAAATGTTACATACAAAACACAAATAAATTTTAAAGAAATGCAAAGATTACTACTTGTATTAAATAACAACAAACAAAAACTGCACGACGCTTTCGTGACGAAAAGATGCCGTGATGTAGCAAGTGTTGGTGCTCTAGAGAGGGCGTCGACAGCTTTTCCCCTTCTAAAATTACGTGGTTGGCCGCTCTAAAAAATGTGTGCATCATCGTAAGTTGTATAGACAGGGTGGAACCTCTAAATACCTATCGCGTATTTTCTAGAGCAATATGCATACACAAATATGATTTTTGGGTACTGCGCATACCGTCGAGTGATTTTCAAAAGCGGTTCACCCCGGGTAATTGTTAATTCTTTCAGGCAAAGGAATGAAATTTGGTTTTCTGATGTTATTTGAGCAGATACAGAAAAATAAAAAACACTTTCTCATTGCCACTTTTTGAGCTCTACAAGACAGCATTGAGAGATTTTTAACAAAAAAAATTACAAGAGAATTGTCATTATGCACTCAGAATGTCAAATACAGGGTGTCGCATTTAAAAATAAAAAATTAATCCAATTTCCAGCTCAACCGGAAGTGACAGAAAACAATTGAAAAAGTATACAGAGGCGAACTAGCTTCGAGAGTCACCCAGTATACGATGCGTTTCAAAAAATAACCCGAAATTTCGTTTAAAAAAATGTATTTTATAACAGATGTTAAATTGACATTTTAATAGGTTTGAGTGGGCGGACAAGTCTCTCTTTAACAGTAAGAGTAGATGTCAATTAGTTTTTTCCTTGAAATTCATACCCGAAGTTATGACCACACCGTATATTTGTGAAGTGAAACAGCTTTGCTGAACACTGTATCTGGAAGCGTTTTAATTTGGGCGCTCGGTTACTAAGAGACCATAGTTTCTGAATTTACTTCATTGTTCTATTTAATTCTTGGTGTTCTTACACCATCTTGATGGAAACGATTATATTATCTTTGTTTTTCTCATAGCAGACTCACCATAGGCCTTTATTGTTGACATTTCACACACTTTGTTGCACTTTATTTCATCTTTTTTAAGCAAAATGTGATACAAATATGTTGATGCATTTTCTTTAACAAATAAAAATCGTCGAGTTCATAAAAGCACGTCTAAGCTACCAGTAGTAAAGAATAAATGCAGCTGAACATTTTATCCACTAAGAAAGGGGACTGATAATATCCTATCAGGAGCCATGCTGTGCGTTGAAGCCTGTGGCGGCCATATTTTCGGACACAAAGTTTGTTTACTTTTTTGCATTTTCGTGTTTATGCGATCCTTCAAGTCTCGTAGTGTGCGATTAATAACATTATTGGACAATGGTACATTGTAGTGCACGGAAGTGATAGCCAAAAAACACACCAAGGAATATCATTTCACAGGTAATTATAGGTTAGATTTCCGTAAAACAACAAACTAATTTGGGCTTCACTTTACGATCACTCCTCACTGCTTCCTTCTCCTTAATTTTATCATCCTTCAGGAACATAATAAAAAAATACTTTCCTCTTCAAACCCAAGTCACGAACTATAATAATTCCCCTTACTTTCTGAACGCCCCTGGTAGTTTTAGGAAACTAAACTAAAAAATTATTCATTTTATTAAAGCAAAGGCAATTTAAACGAAAGTATTAAATTTACTAATTCCTCAAATAATCCATTCTCCTCCGCATTTGTAATTCGTAATGCTGATTGATCAATTTGGTCGACAACACACACTCATCCTCCAATTCCAACTTGCACTCGCCTAAAAATTCGTGTATACAACCGTCCCACGTAAATATTTACCAAATACTTTTTACTGGCAGTGGAGGAATGAGCCAAAAATACTTCTTCTCCAACATTGTCGCTATACCGGGAATACTCCAAAATTGCCTGACTAGCGTCGGATATTTGGCAATGAGTTTTAGACAGTCTATTTGCAATGACGGTGGCTCGGATAATGAGCACGTGATGCGCATGGCGGAATGAGCGGCCGTTGAGCAAACCATGGGGTATAGGTCGCATTTTTTAACATTTGTAAATGCGACTCCTGTAAGCAAGCGAAGTAAGACACAGACTTGGAAGAATGCTGAAGATCACCTAAAGGTCTCCGATTCAAGTAGTAATGTAAAGTACCAGTCCACATATCAAGGTATACACCAATTAAACTACCCATTGTAAAACAGGAACCGTAAGATCGAGTGAGACAGTTATGCTGAATGAAACCGGTGTACGAAAAACCCCAGGACTCCCTATTGCAGCCTAACATACTAGAAAATCGCAACTGCCATTCGGACAAGACCATTCTCGAAGTGCCCACCCCGATCATCTACAATGACCAACGTTAATAACTACATTTAAATCGAAGATATATCACCTACAACGTCGGTCCCGTAAAGATTGGTTAATATCTTAATCTCCCAGTAGTGGTGAACGTTTTGTTGCAAGGGAAGGTTGCCCTTAACGGCAGCCGTACCCGAACTGTACGTCGGATGGAATAGAACATCGAGATTGTTATTGGATAAGACAACGTTAGGGATAGATAACTGAGAGTCAACTTCCCAATTCCACTTGTGTATTGGTTTCTCTTCGCCACATTTGCATTGTAAAACGCTATGAAAGTTTCGGTCTCTCTTCGGCAAGCTGTTTACGCATCTGCACCAAGAACCAGAGACATCAGCATCCTTTGCAAAATAATATGATATCATGGACATTTAATTAGAGCACCTTAAAAGCAAGGACAAGTACAACATATGTGGTTGACTGTTGTTTTGTATTTTTTTGCGATAACGACAACAGCATTGAAGATAGCAACAGTTGTCAACATATACAGGATGAGCTAACTAACACACTATACAGAGCTTTTTTTATTTCAAAACAAATTTTGATAAACAAAACAGGTCCATAGCCAAGCGGGGTTCAGACCCACCTAGAACGTATTCATGCCCCATCGGGGAACTATAGCTAATGGTTTTATAGTTCCTTTACAAAATATAAACCTACTCAACTCAATTTATATACAGGGTGAATTTTTTTTCACTTCGTAAACCGTAACGTAAGAGATACTAAGTCGGCTAAATGAGAATTTTATGCTGATTAATTATCGTATTCATAATTTCTTGTGACTCTATTGCTCTATAAATAGCAAAGTTATGGCCATAAAACCGAAAAATGTCATTTTCGAACATGCGCTGGCGTTCATTTATTTTCAACGATATCACTTTTAACAAACTCTTAGGGATTTTATCTCGGCTTAATAAAATATTCATGACTTGTGGGTTTCGAGTAAATCACACTAACTTTCTAATTTATTATGGACGCCATATTGGATTTTGATGTCACTAGATGGAGAAAAAATTACAAAATCGGCGATACCAAATACTATAAAAAAAATTGTATTTTATTTGGAAATTACAGTTTACAACGTATTTCTTCAAGAAATAATTCCATGGCCGATTGTGATTGAAACTAATTCATACGTTTATTGTCCAGCATAATCGCAATACGGCCCAACTAACGTGTGGGTGGCAAAATGTGGTAGGCCGATGCCGCAAGGTTCCGGTCCGTCGGGATTAGAATAGCGTTACGAATCGAATGTGGGCAGTGTAACATGTGTTTATAGAACTTGGGAGATATTCACTCATATAAGTGGCAGAGAAAACCGGACCAGCCTCTACATTCTTTTCAGTCATACAAATGTAAATGTTTGGAACAAGATAGTCACCCACGGTTTCAGGCACTCAGTTTTATGTTATCACCAATGTTTATTCATAAACATAAGCACTATCTGCTTTATAGTAATTGAATTTGTTTATAAATTCAATGCTGATACGCGCCCTGCAATTTGAAATCATGCGCGCGTAGCATGAGTTGCCTATAGAGCAGGCGTAGTAATTAGCAACTCGTACGATGCTCATTCAACCCATTATCACAGATTGTTAGTTAATCTGTGCCTTACACCGACTTTTAGGATTCAACCCATACTGATACAGGGTGTTACATTTGAGCTGTGCCTTAATATAGGGTGACAGGGTATTGGAATTGTTTAAATTTAAAAAATGGTAATGGGTATGCTCTTTCCGATTTTGTAAATATTTGTTCAAAATGCCTATCCCCAAGATGGGACGGCATACAATTCATGAGAACCAATAAAGGTCGCCACTGACAAATTGCAATGTAAAATTATATTGAACTTTAAGAATGACTCCGGGCTTATACAATCATTTCTTAGGGTGGTTTTTGAAAATATAAATTCTCCATACATTACTCTACAGCGACTATATAAGGTTTTAATTAGAACAGTAATTACTACAATATTGCTACAAAATTGCTAAAATAAGACAACACATTTTATTTTTTATTATAAACAATTGTTGAATTTTAAAGTATAGATAGGCGCTGTAAAATTGCTCCTCTTCTTACAATATTGAAGGTTTTGTCATTTAAAATCCAATATTGCGGCCAGGAGTCATTCTCAAAGATTTCATTTTTAAAAAGTTACATCAATCACAATGGCGACAAGCAGCAGAAGCGCAGCTATTTAATTCTAGATGTCGCTAAGGTACAACCTAAAATTGGCGCGCGTTTAAATACTTCTGCAAAAATATTATAGGGAACTGCTTCATTCGATTTCAATGGTGAGAAGAAAAGCCCTATTTCGACGAGCTTTGGTATCTGGTGGTTTTTTAAAAAGTGTGCTGGAGCCGCAATTAGTTTTTGAAAATATTCCGACTACCATTTCTTACCCAACAATGAGTTATCAAAATTTCAAATAAATTTAATCCAGGTAAAATACTTCAAATTTGAATTCTATGGTGCCATTTGAAAAGTAGGTAGCAGCTTTCTGATATTTTTGTTAAACGTACCTCACAGCTAATTTCCATGGAAACCAATTTGTTCACATTGAACATTATCTAGTGAGCCAAAAAATTGGATCTTAAGCGTACCAAGTTTTCTGAGATTGTGGCTTGAGTTCGAATAAATGTGATAATTTGAAACTCGGATTCGAAGGTGCAAAGGATTTAAAAAAAAATCCGATTTCAAAACATTTAAGGTTTCTGAAATTACCTGCCCCAAGCTTTGAGATTTGCACTTTTGGCACACGCTTAGTATATGCCCAACCACGGTCGTATTGCTCAGCTGATCATTTTTGACATGGGCACCAACCCAATATGTCGCATGATGAGATCTTGCACTCCGTTGAAGGTGGCTCTTATTATCTATTTTAGACTTCATTGGTCAAACGAATGAGAGCTAATTTTGAGAGTATGAGCTGTATCTGCTCATGGGTTGGCTCCCTTAGAGACAAGCAAAGAGGAATAAAATTTCAAAAAATTCTACCGCACCAAGCCCGCGTACATAATTTAGGTTTAACCATTATCGCGTAGTGCTGTATATCCAGTGGGTCATTTTTGGCGTAAGACCCCATTTCTTTCCAAACATTCGCCTACAGGTCCATAAAGCCTTGTCTAATCCAGATATTTGACTGCATTGCGCCCGCGGGATGGGCCCTCCTTATAGAGGAAAAGTCGCCTCTGTTCCCAGGGGAGGAATTCTTTTGGTAAACGGATTAAGGCAGGGCTTTGTCGTACTTTACAAAGACACCTGGAATTATTTCAGAAGTTTCTCCGTCGAATGGTATCTTTTCTGAGATATCGAATATGTTTTATACAAAAGTTTTGGGGTTCTTCAATGCCTACTAGGCAGTAATAATTTTAATTATACAGGGTTGCTCATAAAGGCGCGACACACCAAAATTGCATTTTTTAAATGGAACACCCTGTATATTATTCGATATTTCAATTCTTCACTCAATTTGTAACGTTTTTTGTGATTGTTTGGAATCATTATTTATTGTTTTTTGTTCAATTATTAATGGATTCTCTCTATTTTAAGCAAAATTTGTTATAAGCATATTGTACCTAAATTCAATCGTTTCCGGGTTATCGACTTTTGAAAATTAACGCTATTATTTCAAAATTCATTAATAATTGAACAAAAAACAATAAATAATGATTCCAAACAATGACAAAAAACCTTACGAATTGAGTGAGGAATTGAAATATCGAATAATATACAGGGTGTTCCATTTAAAAAATGCAATTTTGGTGCCTTTATGACCAACCCTGTATAATTAAAATTACTACCGCCTAGTAGAGATTAAAGAACATTAAATCTTTTGTTTTGGACTTTTTTTGATACCTTGTATATTTTCCCCGCCCGATCGTCGACCGTTTCCATACTTATCAGCGACCCTGTATGTTATTTTACACCATGTCACCTGCGTACACCACAAAAGTAGAAAATTTTCCTAACTCAATCCGACGAGTCGGGCTCGGACACTGTCGGAGTGACGTCAACATTTCTGTACCTCTGATTGACTGTCAATTCAGATTTGGACACTGAAAAACCGCAGACAGGTCTAAAATCTTGGTTAAGTATTCATTGCGTTTACTTAAAACCAAAATATATTTTAACTCGCAAGGTCGCAACTGGTAACCGACCTTCAAACAGTTCCAAGACTGGGCTACTAGATCAAAAGTTACAGCCCTTTGAATTTTCTTTCGAAATTGGTTTCTAGTCTATAACTTTTGATTGAGAAGTCTGATCGAAAAAGTACGAATTGATTTGGATTCTACGCACCCAACTTAATAAGAAAAAGTGTTTTCCCGAGAAATTTTGGTGTAGTCGATTTTTGGTAAAAAAAGGAAGGTTGTACACTCCTTTTTTTGGCCCAAATTACGAACGTCTTAATTCAAGCAATCAGTATTTTTCTTGTTGAATGGCTTTCCGGAACATAAATCAAATTAAAATTGTGCCGCAATATCTCCGTTAAAACTCCGTTATAGTTGCTCACTTTAATACTTTAATAACCATATAGGCGACCTATCTTCGGAATGAATTTTAAATTGCTGTCCAGAAAGTTACCTTATATACAGGCTGATTCAAATTCGAGGGCCACCATGGGGATCTCGGGAAGTGTAAGAGATAGGTAAGTAGTTTAAATTGGGCGAAGTTACGTATTTTGCAGTTTTGAAACAGGAAAATTTCCGATTACTTTCGGAGATATCCGGAAAAACACGAAATTTTGCAAAATCGTTTTTATTTTTTACTGAAGTTATTTAAAAAGATATTTCGAAATAAATGACACATTATTATGGACACTTTTTTCCCTCTACAAGATGCTACTTTTAAAATTTAAATTTGACGTTTCGTCTCCAGTCAACCATCATCAACTTTGACTTTTCTTATGGAAGCCATTCATTTTATAGAGAATTTTTTCCTGAGTTCAAAAATGTAAACATCACTAGCTTTTAATAAGAAATTAATTCGTAAAAACGCAAGAAAGTATGTACGTACACTACCCAAGACAAAGTTTTCTAGGCAAAAAATAAGATATTTTAACAATATTAAAAAAAGGGTGATGCTTATATTTTTGAAATCAGAAAACGATTCTCTATCAAATGACACAAAAAGAAAAATTTACTTCCTTAAGAAAAAACAAAGTTGATGATGGTTAACCGGAGACGAAACGTGGGATTTAAAATTTAAAAGTAGCATCTTGTAGATAGAAAAAAGTGACCATTATAAAGTGTTAATTATTTTGAAAAAGTTTTTTAAATAACCTCAGTAAAAAATCAAAACGATTTTCCTGATATCTCCGAAAGTAATCGGAATTTTTTCGTGCGCCACTTTGCCAAATTTAAGCTATCCCCATGGTGGCCCTCGAATTTGAATGAGTCCGTATAGTGAAAATCTTTCACTAAAACCAAACACAAAAACCAAAAATTCTTTCTCAATTCGGTTCGTGTGCCAAAATCTATGCTTTATAGCGTAATGTTGTGTCAGGGCCGGCGCTAAGGACCGTGCATCCCGTGCACTCGCACGGGGCGGCAAAATGTGAAGGGGCGGCAAAATCTGTTTTAAATAAAATCATAATAATTATTAAATTTCATAACCACCAATAATCACAAACAACAATCGCTTCACATCTGCCTGGAATTTCAGATAAATGACACAGGGAAATGAGACCCTATTACAAACACAAAGAAGCTGTTATATTTGTATTATATTACTTTATTTAGTGTTACCACTTAACGGCTTACTATACCTACTTCCTTTTTTAATTATGTGTAGTCATAACATATCAGTTATCACGGTTCACGTCTCACGATTTTGTAAATTTTCGCGACAACTCAATGGTGCCATTGTATTATTCAAAGAAGTACGTATAAATACCTAGGTGTAGATTACAAATTTTCTTAATTTTCGTTAGTGTCCATAGTTACTTCAGCAAGTACTGTCGCGTCGTTGATTGTTGATATTTTTCTAATTTTTATATATCACTTAATCAGTGGATTTCGCAACGCTTAGTATACGGCATAAACATGTCCGAAAAACGACATCGTCTTTCTGGTGCTCAGTATCGCAAACGAAAAGCGATTCTCGAAAATGAAAAACGAAAACAAAGCGATGCGCTAAATAAATATTAAAGATTACAAGACGATTACGAAACGGAACGTGAATTCGGAGAATCTTCTAAAAATCGCGATAATAACGAAATTCGCGAATCCGAAACACTCGCCGAAACGTTTGTAAATCCTGACGAACTCGATAAATAACACAGGTATGTTGATTTATCGTATCTATTGTTTATAGTATATAGTTTTAGTCTTTAGGTGAATTGTAAATTATTGGTTGGCGGTTTGGGGGGGGGGGCGGCAAAGTTAAATTTGCACGGGGCGGCTAAATTGCTAGCGCCGGCCCTGGTTGTGTTCATCCTCACTATAAATCAAACGAGTTCAAAAATCCACGAAAGTTAATAATAATAAAAAAAGATATTTGCCGAAACCCGGGATTGAACCGGGGACCTTTAGATCTTCAGTCTAACGCTCTCCCAACTGAGCTATTTCGGCTTGATGTTGAGCCATCCTTAGGTTTTGTTAATATTTTCAACTTTTACAATAATATCTCATTGATCTAAATTATTAAAGAACAATTTTGTGTTTTATTAGCACGGCTTAAAATTCTCTTTTACAAGAATCTCGAAAAGATGGCGCCAAAGAAGTCATACTTTTATAATTAATGCCCCATATATTTATTTACGTCGCCGTAATCTGGTGATACATTTTTCGTCACATTTTTTCGTTGGCGTGCAGCCCGATTCATATTTGGGTTAAAGTGACGGGCGCCTACGTCGCCGTTTCTGTAATTTTTTTCCCACTCGGCGCGCTTTTAAGATTTTGGCGAAAGGCGAAAAGTGCGCGCGAAGGACGGGGACCATGTCGTAATGCATAAAAATGCAATCGTCGCGCGCGAGGGGAACGACAAAAAAACACGGGAGAAGGGTTGGCGGTTGATTTGTTTGAGAGCAATGCACGTGCAATCACCAAGTCGGCGTCGTCGCCGACAGAGAGAAACGCATCTCTCTCGCGCTCCCCGCGCGAGTCTCGGTATGACGGCTATTTTGACGGGAAGGTCGGTCACATGACCGGTTGATAGTCGCGCGGCGGGCGGTGGAGCGCGGGGAGGTGAGGCTAGACTTTCCTCGGCGAACGTCTGTGGCCATGACTGCACATTCGCGAATGTGGTGGATTTCTGATCGTCGCCTTTGTTTCGCGTTATTATCGTGCGTTCGATTCGAAAACGAGAATAATTAGGCGTTAGTTTGATGGTGTCGATTTATGATGCGTGTAAATGAAAATTTGTGCTGCAAAATGTGTATCTGATCGTGCGTGTTGTGAGTTTGCGCAAAGGACGAGGCTCGAACCAGACACAGACATCGTCCGGTCGCCGAGTAGCAGCCAGAAGTAGACATGTTACGGTGAACGCGGGATGTGCGTAAGTTGCGTCGAAACGGTGTGTAAAGTGAGTACAGTTTAGTTTATTTACGTGAAAAATGTGCGCGTTTCTAAGTTAGCGCGGAAAAGATTGGCGCTCCTTTCGGGGGCGATCGCTTTGGAAAGATGATGGAAGTTACGCCTCATTTGAAGAGCGTTTTGAAAAACTACCAGCACAGCGCGACCAAGAGTTTACAAGGTCCGGGTCTGTCTTTGGTCGCGACCAAGTCGGAATCGCCAGATCTAAAAGAAGAGGAGTACGTCCAACCAGCTCCATTGCCAATCCAACAGCTTCCAATATTAACGACTGCCGATACAAGTTGTAGCGAACGTACGGAAACAACATTGGAAGGTGAGACGATTTCGTGCTTCGTTGTTGGCGGCGAGAAGCGACTGTGTTTACCGCAAGTTTTAAACTCGGTATTGCGCGATTTCAGTCTTATGCAAATCAATCAGGAATGCGACCAGTTACAAATCTATTGTTCGCGTTGCACACCCGAACAGTTAAATGTCCTCAAGAATCAGGGAATACTTCCGAGCAGCGCGCCGAGCTGCGGACTTATCACGAAAACGGACGCCGAAAGACTTTGTAGTGCCCTTTTACATTGTCAAGTTTATCCTAGTTTAAGGCCGCCGAAAGGCACGCTCTCCTTTACCGTTTATCACGAGTGCTTCGGCAAGTGTAGGGGTATTTGCGTGCCCGATCTTTATACGGGCAAGGACGCAAGGTGCATCGAATGCATGGACTGCAGTGGCGCGTTCACCCCGCAACAGTTTGTGTGTCACGTACATAGAGACTTGGAGAACAGGACCGTGCATTGGGGTTTCGATTCGTCGAATTGGCGTTCCTATCTCCACATTTGCAAGGATCAAATTGACCACGAGCGCCTTACCAAATATCTGGACGTCATCAAGGACCAATACGATGGACAGGTGCCGTTCGCGGCCCCCGTCGTCGACACTAACGTTACCAACATGAAAAGAAAACAGGTCAGTGTTTTTTTTTCTTTCATTTAACTACACGATTACTCGACCATTACCGACGGGCAAAAAACGGCCGTAATATTTCCTCGGTTCGTAAACTTAACGATATAAAAACAAAAAATTGAAATTTTGTAATACTTTGATTTAATTTACCTCGTAATTTACGCAATACAATAGTTGCTCTAGGGATAAGAAACTCCTTCATGATCAACTCCCGCACTAATTAATTATGGCCGTTTGCATCGACAAATTTAAGCAGAACTTAGCTTAAGCATAGCTTAAAATCCATGGCAACCATTATCTCAATAATCGTTGCCATGGATTTTAAGCTAAGCTTTGCTTAAATTTGTCGGTGCAAACGGCCATTAGACAATTTTTGAAACTTATTGAAGTGGAGCTTTACTGAACCTACCAATAGGACATTGCGATAAGTTAAAGTTAAATCGGATTAACGGGGTTGGTAGATTTTGTCACGGTTACAATTGGCATGGTAATTTTGGTTATTCACTTGAATTATGTTAAAAATTTACCGAATTTTGGTATTTCTGTTTTATTACATAAAAAATATTACAATCGAGATGCGATGAAATTTTTGAGTAGAACCCTCGAAAATTAGTGGAATTAGTATTGGAATTAACGAGGGGTAAACCGCTGGTTTAAAACGTGTAGGTACACCATTACTCATACTTCATACATAATGTTGTCTTACCACGAAGTATTACTCGGGGTATTACTCAAGTCGAGACTCAAGTATTACTCGTATTAGTCAAACCGTGTACACCAAATTACTCCAGCGGTTTACCCCTCGGGAATTAATGAAATTAGCACTGGAATGATCCTGGATTAGGGGAAATTGAGTTATTAGCGCGGAGCACCGAGTGCTTTTTCTAGGACCTTCTGATTTTTGTTTCATTCTTGGACAAGATTTGCAAAGAATTTTATGTTTATACACCGAGTCATACACACAATATACAGGGTGGTGACTTGCGTCGCGCATCATAGGGATTTCAATGTAAAATTCATAACATGCCATTATTGGCTCCCCAAATTATTTTAGAGCAGAAATGTGTTAAGGTTTTTATAGACAAAATTTTTTTACGTCAATCAACCGCGTTGGTTTCCAATTTTTTACATAATGAAGACAGAAAATTGGAAAAATAAAACCTGCATCTTTTTCAATAATAATCTGTGAAGCCATGGAATTTTATAATACAAAAACTACTACGTCAATATCCGTCATGCCATGGAATGTCTGCTATAAAACAAATCAAATTCTATCAAAAAGTATTATATTTAGAACAGCGAATTCAACATAAAGAAAGACCAAATTACTAAAAACGGTTTGCTAATACAACAATTGACAGTAAATGTTCGAATAAGTCACCATTAACTGCAAGACAGTAACCAAGTCGATCATAAAATCCAGCTGCTAATTGACAACTTGACATCTTTTTGTTTTAGAAAATTCCATGGCATCGCAGATTATTCAAAAAGATGCGGGTTTTATTTTCTCAATTTTCCGTCTTTACCTCGGTCTTTACTATGTAAAAAATTGAAAACTAATACGGTTTATTGACGTAAAAAATTTTTTCTACCAAAAACCTTCATACATGTTTGCTCTAAAATAATTTGGGGAGCCAATAATCGCATGTTATGAATTTTACATTGAAATCCCTATGATGCGTGACGCAAGTCACCACCCTGTATACAGAGCGAGTCAACACTTGTCACGGAAAAACCATTGAAACACTATCTATCAGAAGCGTCAAATCCGAGGTGAAATCAAAACGCCTATTCATTTTTTTTAATGCAACCAAAATCATCTAGACATTTTACGTTTAACCTTAAAAAATGTTAGAAGTGTGTAAGAAATTTGGAAATGTCTCGGAATTTTTCAATAATTTTGCCATAGAAATGTATACAAATCTCGATAAAAATATAATGAAGCACGTTGAAGATGTGTAGAAATCGTATAGAGTACAGAAATGTTCGAACAGTGCAGGAAAATGTGAAAATATCTCTGGAATATTTAGCGAATTTTAAAAATGCCTAGGAAATGTTGGAATTGTTTAATAGATATTGTAAATTTGTGCGAAATTATAGAAATTTAAAAAATGTGTCTGAAAATGTTAAAAAAATTAAAAAATAAGTGCTTATTTATTTTATATGTGAGGGCTCGCGCGAGGGAAATGTTTCAGAAATGGGTCTCGAGTTTTCGAAATGTCGAGGAAAATTGTAGCAATTTTGAATACATTTAAAACATTTTGGAAACGCTATGCAAGAAAACTTGAAAATGTTTCTAGAATATTTAAAAAAAATTGGAAACTGCTTCAGAACGGATTACAGATGCTTCTGAAATATTAGAATCGTTTCATAGACATTGGAAATTTGTACAAATTATAGAACTTTTGGAAACTTTCCTGAAATGCCGGAAGAATTTTTAATGTTGGAAATGTTTTAAAAATAAGAAAGAATTCTTGGAAAATTTTTCAGAATAGTGTCTCAAGTTTTGGAAATGTGTAGAAAGTTTGTGAAATGTATCGAAAATGTGTAGCCATTTTGAAAGTGATCAAACGTTTTGAAAAAATGCAGGAAAATTTGAAAATATTTCAGGTGAGTATTCAAGAATTTTGGAAATGCCTCCCAAATTACTCAAAATTTGGTAAGATATTAAAGAAATGTTGAACATGTAAAAGAAAACTTAAAAATGTTTAAACAAATTTGGAAATGTTTCAGAAACGAGTAAACAATTTTAGGGAAGTGTGAAATGATATTTTGGAAATGTTTCAAGAAATATTTCAGAAGCGAGGGAAGTGTTTCAGAAATGCGTCTCCAAGGGTTAACGCAAAGTTTGCAAGACATTATAGAAATGATTTGTACGGCTTATTATATTGGCTTATTAAATTTCCCGGGGCAAGTGAAAAACCATTCCCTATAGAAGTGCATAGTTAAGAAAAAACTTTTTTTGTTTTGATCAAAATCGGTGGAAAGTTATGCTAATATGGCAGACGAATGGGCTATCCGAAACGATGTTTCATTCGCCTGTGTCCACGTTATTTTTTCGAATCATCGTTCGAGATCGTTCGGGAATAAAAACTAATTTTTTTTAATGTAATACCCGAGGGAATAGCTAAGTACGTATCTGTTAAAACCAACAGAAATTCGAATAAGTAAGTCAGAATCGAGAACAGAATTCCCTCGAGAATTCCTTAAATTTACTTTAAATTTTGGGAATATTTGGAGTATTTTAACAATTGACAATTTTTTGGAATTTTTTTCTTTTTTTTTTAATTAGATTTTCTTGAATTTTAATCTTATACTTTAAACATTTTACAGTAGGGGTGAATTATTTTGTTTTTTTAAATTCTTTAATTTTTCTAACATTCTAAAGCTCGTTCTGAAATTTTCTGTATTTTTTTATTCTATACTTTTTTTGTGAAATCTCATCTTTCTCGAATATGTATTTATCACACTATACTTTTACATAAATTTACAAGAAAAATGTCAACATTTAATCTATTAACCCGTGGATGAATGTAAAACATTTGATTTTTTCTGGAAAATTTATATAAAAGTATACAGTGTGTGACCGTTATTTTATTCTTGTCTTCTACCTCATTCCCTCGCTCATTACGTAAAAATGCAATATATATGACGTCCATACAAATAAGAAAGTAGTATCCTGTAAGTTCTACGGAAACGGTGGTAACAGATTCTGATTCTGTGAAAAAAAAAGTGCCCATAGAACGTGCTAATGGGAACCGTCCATTTCCGACCGGCTAAGTAGGGAAAATCTCGGAGAAAATGAAAACGAAATTTGACATTTTCAGTTTTTCGGTGACGAATTTGAATCACCCTGTACATATTTTTAAAAATTGACAATTTTTTTGGAATTATTTATAAAAAAATTGTTAACATGTTGCGTTAGGGGGAATTTTGTAGTTTCCTGAAATTTTTTTAATCAATTATTTTTTTTAATTTATCTGAGTAATTTGGAGTAAGTAAAAATGGACAATTTTTCGAAATTTTAATTTTTATTGAAAAGATTGATTTTCCCGAATTTGAATCTTATATGTACTTTGCATTAGAGGGTAAATGATATTAAACTATCAAGATTCAAATTCAGGAAAACCAAATTTTTTAAATATAATATACTTAATTAAAAAATTTGGAAAAATTGTCAATTTTTAAAATACTCCAAGTTGCCAAAATTCCCTACACACTTCTTTATTCATTCATTATTTCTTTTTTGTACATTTTTGAGTGGAGTATTTTAAAAATTGATTTAAATTATAAGATACAATTTCAAGAAAATCCAATGTTTTTAATAAGAACAAAGACAATTCCGAAAAATCCTTAAGCAGTCAATTTTTAAAATATTCCAAATTACCAAAATTTCCACATTTCTGACACACTTCCCTCGCTTCTGAAATATTTCTTGAAACAAAATTTTATTCCTACACCTTCCCAAAAATGTTGTCTCCTATCTTTCCAAAATTTTTTAATTCCTGAAACATTTTATTTATTTTTTCAACATTTTTGAAACATTTCTGTTTCTTAAAATTTTATTATTATTATTATTTCTTTATTGACGGCCAAACCAATATTTTAAACATTATTCTCAATAATATTTTTTACTTAGTTTAATGTATATAATCAAAATAACGTATCTTTAGTATATAAACTATACATGATTATTAATCGTGAAAATAATTAAATTTAAAAAAATTTAGAATAATTTTGGATACATTTTCAAAATGTTTAAGGGTTTTCAAAATTTTCTACACATTTCCGCAACTTGAGACACACTTTTGAAATATGTATATATATTTCTTATTTTTTAAACATTTCCAAAATTGAAAAATTCATTTCAGGTGCATTTCCAAAATTTCTATACTTTCACCTCGACTTTTGCACAAAGTTCCAACGTCTATTAAACGATTCTAATTAATATTTCCGAAACATTTTTGAAACACTTCCTGAAGCAGTTTCGAATTTTTTTAAAT